GGACTTTATACTGTTTTATTGGTACTTTTACTCAAGCACGATATCTGAGCACTTTTTCCACCACTGCCACCAGATAAACAACTCTTTAGCACTCATACAATCCTTGTAGATATCATCACAGCGAGAACAGAAGCATTTAAGTTTTGGGAAAAAAACAACAGTTTTCTGGTGCTGATGTGCGTTTATGGGAATAATTAAGTAGAAAGGCAGAAGGGAGACAACTTGTAAGCAAGAGGACCAGCACGCATTGAAGTGTCCTTGAACACGACACCAAATCCCTACCTGCTCGGCAGCTGATCATGCGCTCTTCTTGTGAAGGGGGAAAGTGAAAAGGAAATTTCCTTACAGAGAGCAATAAAGGATCATATTACACATTACAGTGGGGGGCAGAAAATGAAGGAGAAGCATGAGCAGTCATAAAGGGAAATGTCTTCATCATCCATCCACGTTTCACCATGATGCTGAAAATACTTGTGCCATTACGGCTGAGAACAGAGCGGGACACTGTCAGAGGAAAGGAGGCATGGATAGATGGACAAGAAGGAGGGAGACATTATCTTACATTTATAATGGCGGAGCTTATTAAAAAGGGGAGGTCATTATTTTTATCTGGAGAGCAGAGAGAGAGGGGGACCTATTCTTAGCTTTAACCCCCATGGCCCGACAAGATAGATCTACGGTTTTATGTGAGCCTGTCTGCCCAAACCCAAGCCCGTCTACAGCTTCATCAAACACACACACAAAATACAACCTATAAACAAAACCAAGTCACTCAATCAGAGGAGTTAGCTTTGGCTGCTGATCACTCTGTGTGGCCAGAGTGGAAAACTATAGACTGATCAGAGTTTATGTCATAACATAACATATGATTAAACAAATGCAGATACACATATAAGTGGAATGTATTCTCTTTGTTGGATTCTGGGATTTTCAGAGACATGTGAAGTACTATTTGTATGATAATTTATATAATAATAATAATTTAACTGTACTACTTCATTAAAGTGTTTTTGTCAGGTCTTTTCTTTGTCCTTGTCAGTTTCTTTCTTTTCTCTTTCTATATAATATAAAAATAACATATTTAAATAATATAATGAATATAATATTCCATTAACCATCTTACTTATCCCACCAAATATCCTGCATATAATGAAAAGTTAATACTCCATTTCAAGGTTGCTGATGAAGGATGTTTTACTTTAACCTACTTATATTATCATTGCTTTGTCAGATGAATATACTTTTATGACAGTTATGAAAAAAGAAAGAAAAAGGACGGCAGGCTTTTTATTCTTCAGTTAACATATTTAGTACCCCAGCTGGCAGAAGGAAGTGCTGACACAACAGAATATGAACTAAGTAAATAAATAAATTTCCCCAAGGGCGACTTTCCTCTCAATATTTTTTATTTGCTTTTTGAGGTTCGAAGTATGTCACCTGGGTTATTGTTCCCTGGAGTGGGATGAATAATGTCAGCAATATTCAGCTTTCATATCTGGGAACATCATAACAAGCAGACAGTAGTCAGGGGACAGTAGAAAGCATTCCTCCATAGAGTTTGTCAACAACAACTCTTCTCATTGCGGACGATAATGCGATGAAACTTAACATATGCAAAATAAAAACTTCACTTAGGGATTTAAATGATAAGAATCAGCTGATATAGGAAAGGTCCCAAACTCACACAGACCAAGAGTCTGCAGCCATGCTAACAGCTCTGTGAGGCTGAACAGTGGAATCTTGAGCTAAATTTAGCATGCTAACTACATACATAATCAAAAACACCCCCCAAAAAAACAAAAAAAAAAAAAATAAAAAGGAAAAAATTTTTCCATAATAACCTTCTCCCAAAAAAAAAAAAAAAAAAAAAAAACAAAAAAAAAAAAAAATTTTTCCCAAAAAACTTTTTCAAACCCCCAAACCCCAAAAAAAAAAACCTTTTTTTTAAAAAAAAAAAAAAATTATTTGTTCTTTTTTTTTTTTTTTTAAAAAAAAAAAAAAAAAAAAATGTTACATACATGTTAACAGTTATATTTTAAAACCATTTATTTACATCAAATATGGTCTGAAAATCTAAGTCTGGAAAAGTATGGAATTTTGAAAGGGAAAATGTATGGGAACTGTGTTACTAATTAGAAATGAGCAATTAGCAACACAAATTACAGATGAGACTGATGGGAATGTCATTAGTTTTTCAGGTATTTGGTCATAAAATTAAACATTTGACCTGATTTTGGCGCTAAATTTGTCTTATAGTAAAACCACAAATGTCAGCCTCATGGTGGTGGACCCACCCACTGACTGCCGTCCCCAGATCCAAGTGGCACTATAGTAGCATGGCTAAAAATACATAGATTGGAGTGCCAATTAAACCCTTACCTTGTATTTGTCGAGCTGCTTAGTCAGAGGTGTGTGACTGTGTTCCAGCAAAGTGAACTGTTTCAGGAGAGTGACTGCCGCCGGGTCTGTTGGCCCAGCTGACCCTCACCTTGTCCGGTAGTGTACACGCCTCTCTTGTGCACGTCCCAAATTTAGCAAGCCCCCTTCTCTGCAGCTGACATTACACCAGCCCTCAACTACATAGGCTGTGATTCCCAAGCCATCGCTCTCTCTTTCTAATAATGATTTGGATGTTGAAATTGTAGCCTGCAAGTGCAAGCAAAAGTTAATGAATGTTTCTATTTTTGTCTTTCGAAACTGTTTTAAATACATCATTGTACTTAACACTCAGTCTTGAGTGACTATTATTTACTGTCAGCCATTTCCATAATAGTGCGTAATAACCTTGCCTGTGTGGAAGACTGATGGGGATTTTATTTTTACATGAGCACCAGCCACATTACCATCGTCTGCATCATGTATCAGATGTCCTCTGCTGTGAAGAGAGGGGCTGAAAGATGGAGCATTGAGGAGACTGACTAAAGGAACATATCCTCTCAAAGGCAGATGCAGACATCGGAGAGCTTAAGGGGGTCGGAGCTCTCAGAGAGCAGAGTGAGGGGCTCATGTAACTATAAGGATGGGAGGAAGGCGACAAGAGGGCTATTTTGTCTGGTAAAGGTGACATGAGACCCTCCACAGGGGTCTGCATGGGAGGATTTAAAGTGCAAGTTGATGAATAAGTGGTGAAAGAGAGGTCAATGAGATTGTTACTGTTTAAGTACCAAAATGAAAATAAATTATGATCACAAACAACAATAGCAGACTATTAAAGCTAAAATATGACAAAAAGCTTAAAGGTGAACAGTTTCCTTTTGCCAGCATTGAGTCCCTTTTGGTTTTTATTTCAGGTTGTCTTTTGGGTTGTGTTTCTCAGCTTGACCTTTGCACTCTGCTGGCAGTGACTCAAAAAAAGCTTTGTCATGTCAAGTCTGAGGAAAATTACCCGAATGATGTCAGAAGGGTAATCTGCTGCATTTTGTCAGCCATGCATAGCTCCATGGATGGTCAGTGGGTCAGTCCACCTACAGCTACTGGATTGATTGCTAGTCAAATGCCTGTACAGACTTTCCCGGTCCCCAGAGGATGAACCCCTCTGACTTTGAGTCAATTTGTCTTGACAACTGTACAATTTGGTGCAAACATTCATGGTCTTAGTCAACTTTGGTGATCCCAGAGTTTCCATTTATATTTTGGTTGATCTATTGGTTTGGCTTTCTTTACAATTAATATTGCAGCTCCACAGAGGCACTAGTGTGGCTGTAAACTCCAAGTTTAGTTTTAACACGTCCCTTGTGAGTCCCCGAACTGAGTGACAGGGCAAAATCTTTTTATTATTATTTTTTTTTAACCACAATAATTGGCACTACTGTTTGGCCAGCTGTCAGATTCTGGCTGAGAATGTGAAATGAGCTGCTGATTTTGCTCTGATATACTCGAGTAGTTCACATGGACAGCCTGCCTACACAGTTCAATATTGTCTTTGGCGTCTGTGGACCTGGACCAGCTGTGGATGCGGACGTGTTCCACACATGCTCACGGAATGAGCAGGCGGCAGCAGCAGTTACATTTAATGTCTTTCTTTGGAGAGGGGATGAAAAGAAAGAAAGGACATGTGAGCTGGTTGATTAGAAGGCTATTTAGTAATTTAGCCCAGGATATTGAGATAGGTTGGAAGGAAGAGATTAAAGGAAGAAGGAAGGAATAAAGAAATGTTATTCATATTTAAAGTTTGATTATTAATTGACTCTCTTTTATCTTAAAAGGTAGACATTAAGTAATGATACATGAATGTTAGTTTTTGAAGGATTATAAAAAATGTGATTACAAAACTCTGAGAAGAAAGAATCTAATCTGAGGTATAATCATTACTCATAATAATAAAAATAACTACACACTAGACTTGCTGTACATAAAAGGCTAACATTCATTTGCAGTGCTCTTACATACAAGTATTGACAGTGCGTAACTGTGAAAATGTGTGTGAATATGATATATTTCATATATGTTTGTTGTGAAAATGAATATCTATCAACAGTGTCATAATGATGTAAGACAGCTTTTTCTATTCATATTTAATATTATTCTTGCAGAATTTAGCATGATGACCAACCTCATTATTTCAGCATTGGTTACCATATTCTATTATTTATATTATTTATGTAGAAATACAGGAAAAATGGGATTCAAATGGCAAATTTTACTCTCGTTAACCACTTTAATATTCCAGCCACACCTTTACACTGAAGGTCAGAGTTCATTGTTATGGTTACAGCTGTGTGTATAATTCATGTAGGTGTGGTTGTAACGTTGATGACCAGCGGCTTACAGGAGACATGTTGAGTCAGGCCAACTCAGCTGTTAGTAACTCTGTCGGTCTGTGTTACAGATATTGACGCAGGCCTTGTTACAGAATACACACGCAACAGCTTTTTGTTTGCGGTCTGGCCAATTTTGATTGCATTATGTATAGCCAGACATCTGATAAGCCCGAGATCACAGCCACTGGAAATGGCCTCAAATGGCACTGGACAGTCAAATAAGGAAACTGTGATCTGATACTGGAGATGTCTGTAGATTTATTCATGCTGCCTGTGTTTCCCCTCCTAATGCTTCTTTTCTTTCCCTACTTCAAAATATTTAGTTCGCTTGCGTTTTTCCCTTTGAACATGAGCTCACATTTTCTCCCTGAGCTCCAGACGGATATAGAAGCACACATGGCTTAGCTCACAAAAGCAAACAAACAAAAATATCTGAAACATGAATGAGCAGTTTTAGATCTTGAGATGCACACAATTTGTGTGCAGTGCAAAGACAAACTGGAACCTGATTTATAATCAATGGCTTTTCTACATCAGTATTCTTTAAGCAGTGTGTTTAGAGAGGAACATTCCTGGATTTTAACATTCAAATACTGTAGTTTTATTATCTAGGATTACTATGACAACTATGTTATCATGAGCTGTACATTAGGGGATGTTGCGAACATTTCCCATTGTGTGCGGTATCACTCAACGTCTCTGTAAGCAATGTTATCTTTGGCTCTGCATTTGCAGACTTTAAGCTGCATCAGTGACTCTCCCACTTGTAAGAAGACATTATCTGACATGTCATGTTAACATTATGTTAATATACAGCAGAAGAGCTGAGGGTTTTCAAGCAGGGTTTTAAGCAAGGAGTGGAATTACACTATCAAATCCATTTGAAATTAAGCATGATTCAGTCAGTAAATTCCATGATTTATACCAAGAGAAAGTATTACTTATATATAAAACAACTTGGAGTTACTTTATAGTACAGCATCCTGAAGTAAGTTTTGTATGGTTTGTATCGTGTTGTTTGAACATAGAGTGGTTGAACATTTAACAAGTGGCTTGCCATTCATTCAAGCCAGATAGTTTGGACATCTACTGTATGGAAAAACATACAAAAATAAAAAAAACAATATCAAAAATGACACAAAATAAAATTATCTGTGATAATAAATTGATTTTGATGATACAAGTTTCTATTTGTGGCACTGACTGCCTGTTAGGTGATTTTTATATATTAGTTGTATAGAGATTCTCTGAAAATAATCATCAGATTAACAGATGATGAGAATAATTGCTGCTTGCAGCCCTAATCTTGTTTTCTCTGAATTGAATTACAATATCTGTGATGTTGCCTAATTCTTTGGACTCAAAATTGACCCCAGTTCAACAGTTCATGAACGGCTTTACTTTATTTGGTCCTGTACCTGCGGCAACCTCATCTCAACAATAATCAGCAGGAACTTGCAGCTTGGAGCCTTTTTGAATTCACTGTTACTCGACTGCTGGTCTGATTTCACCAGCTGCTTCTTTGAACTTCTGAGCTGACCTTAACTTTCCCTAAGTACGAATCTGTCGGATTGGATGCCCTCCAGATACTGGTGATGTCTAACTGGCAGATGCCTCGGGAGTTCCAGCTGTGATCGAGATTTTATTGCTCAACAGGGGCTGTCCCTCATCTCTGAAAACCAATGAGCCTTTGCAGCAGAGCTCACAGTGATCAGACCCCTTGTTTTCTTGCCGTTTATGTGGCACAGTAGAAGGTTACTAATTGATTATAAATTGAAAGAGGGGGGGAAAAAACTAAAGACCTTTACAAAATGCTTTCATAGATTCATAAATGACGTTTAAGTTGAATGTATAAAGGTCTTGGAGGACATGGGGTGGGTACTGTAGGTTCAAGAGTCAGAGCTAAATCTTGCTTTCTGGCCACCGAAGCATGAAATTGAATTTGTCAGTGGATAACTGCTGCCACCTAAAGGTCAGAGGACTCCCTATATGTGTATGTAGTACCCGAGGGTATTTGCAGATTGTACAGATTGATTAACTTGCCGTGTAAAACATTTCTTAACCACAATCATGAAGTACGCACACATTTACTTCAGTCTCATTTATAGAAGTACATGTAACCTGGAAGTACCTGGTGGATAAGTTGCCTCACACTGCAAGGCTACCACTGAAGCATGAAATTGAAATTATTGATGGATACATTCTGACAGCAAGAGGTCAGAGAGCCAGAATCAGCTGCATGTATACCTGTGGCCATTTGTTAGCTGTGCAGACTCGTACGTCACCTCTAAAACAGTATACGTGTATATCGGTATAAAAGTACCTGTATATATATACAAAAGTGCTTATAAACAGTAATATATAATTGTTTTATATCAACAGAAGTACACAGAAGATTTTTAAAGTTCACAACTGTAATTACATTGTAAAGATTTCAACTCTTGTGTACATGTAAGACTAGCCTCGTAGGCAGTTCTCCATAGCTTGCATCTCCTGTAATTCATGACAGTGAGGGCCACAGTGAAGGCAGAGGAGGCGTCTGACCTTGGGGATGACAGAGAGAGCTGGGCCTCTGGCACCACTGGGAGAAGGGGGTGAGAAAAACAGCAAAGAAGAGCTGTTAGTTCTACTAATAATGTCAGTCAAAATCATAAAATTGTAGAATTTATTATTAGAGTTAGTAGTAGTACGTATTTTTAATCAGATGTTGAAAACAACACGCTCTGAAAATGTTCCTCACTGTTTCTATGACTCACTCACCCATTGAAGTGTAGCTGAGCTAATTTGAAGAGTTGACGACCCAGTTCAATACTGTCCTCTCCGTACTGGGAGCCAATAGCTACAGTGCTTCGCTCCAGATGGGAGGCTGCATTGTCCCAGTCACCTACAAAAAGAAACAAAGCAGTAAGAGGAGTGAAAAATCTTTAGGTCATATATTGATTAATTTGACACTCTTGTTTTCTTTGATTTCTTTGCTTTAGCAACATATCTTAAATTAAACATGATACCATGAAGAATTTCATTGTCATCATCACTGTGCTTGTTCACTTGCTGTTAGTACTAATCCAATTAATGTGTAATGTAGCAGCCAATACACATTATCCAGCTATTTATACAGGGTTATAAATCCAATTATAGGGTTTGCTTGAATCTGTTTGCATATGTGTGTTACAGAATATGCCTGTTTTCCGAGAAACCACTGCTATCAATAGTACATTGGCATAGAAACTTAATCAGTCCTTAACCCTTTAAGGTTTTTTTTTCTATCATTAGAGAGTATTTTGAGTTGCAATATCTGACATCTACTCAACTGGTCAAAGTATGCTTAGCTTCTTAAAAATTGTGCACTGGGTTTTCAGAACCAGACCTTTTCAGGTGGCGGCCCCCCACTAAGTTTAAACCTTAACATGCTCAACCAATCAGTGATGTCCATTAATAGTAAAAGTGTAATTGATTGAAACCTCCATTAATGGTAAAGATGTTATTGTTTTTGGTTTTGTTTGGGTGGGATTGTTATGGGGACCATTAGACAGTTTTCACACAAAAAATAAATAAATATATATATATATATATATATATATATATATATATATATATATATATATACACACATAACAGAAAAACAGAACAGAGCACAAAAATAACAGCCCATCTGTTACCCACATGAACCAGTAGGGATATAGTAACCACAAAGCTCATCTGCAAATACTCATGCTTTATTATTCTCACCCATTGTGGCATACGCTCTGGCCGTGGCGTCTGCCAGCTCCCCCTGCAGTGGGTGTGTCTCTGCAAGGATCAGTCCAGACTGACACTGGGTCCTTCTCAATAGTCTCAGAGCCTCATCTGAGGGAGGGCAGAGCAGAAGATATGTAGCAGAGATGTAACAAAAGGCTCCTGAACAAATCACACACACATTATTATATGTGCATAATATATCATAATGACCTGGCCTCTCTCTTTCCATGAGGTCCACAGCCTCCTCCAGGGCGACCCTGATCCCCTGCAGGCTGTGACTCACTTCAGATGAAGGCATACGGTGACCACAGGTCTGCGAACATATAAATTCTATCCCTCTGTCCTCACTGCTTTTCTGAAAATCATAAAAAGGGTCTCAAAAGTCAACAGCTGTAAGGTAAATATCAAAAGAGGAATTCATCAATAAGTAGTGCAATTAATCATATAGAATTGTAAAAAGAAAATCCTCAAAAACATTAATGAACACCTACTCTGAGAGGTCCTTTGCACTTGCAACACAGGAGACCAGACTTATGTAGATTTCCAGCATCTGACCTCTGCTGTCTGCCCTGTGTACCCTCCTTCTCCTCCTCCTCCTCCTCCTCCTCCTCCTGCTGTTGCTGCTGAGTACAGGCCTCACACTGACACAGGAAGTAGTACTGGTCCTGCAGGAGACGTTGGCGTTCTTGGGTCGCCATCCTACTGCTGTGGGGACCTGAGTGAGGGATGGTGGGAGTTGATGGTAGCACAAAAGCACAGGTTAAAGCTCAAAAGATGAAAGAACAACACAATGAAGCTCTCGTTTCAGTGGAGAGAGCTGTAGAAATGTTGCTATTTGCCCCTGTAATTTATGAAATATATATCAGCCCCTTGGAAAAATGGCTAATTTTCTTACCATAGCAATGCAGGATCTCTTGTCCAGGAGTGATAACTTTGGCTGCTCTGACAGTTACAGTCACTCCGCAGGCTGTGCTTCTGTCCTCAGATACACTCTCACTGAGATCTGCAGACACATCTGAACCTGAGGGATCAGCACCGGTTCCAGTGCTGAACACCAGGCTTGTGTTGGGACAGCAGGAGTGATTCAGAAGGCTTACAGTTGGGAATATTGCCGTAGCAATGCGGATTTCCCTGCTGGACTGCACTGCCATGGTTGTTGCTCCTGTGAGTCGCAAGAACCAGAAAGTAAAGGTCATTGAGCAACACAAGAACATCGTCTTCGTCATCCTTCATTATTTAAAAAAAAGCCCCAATTCTGCTATAGTGGAGTGTATAAGCATGGATACCATTACAGTAGAGCTGAATCAATCGGTCAATTACCAGAAAATGAACAATTTCGATCAACACTTAAAAGTAATTTTTTATCAAAAATGCCCCAAATTCACTGGTTCTGATTTCTCAAATGTCAGTGTTTAGGGTTTTTAACTATTTGGATCATCTTGTGGTGGCTTTGCACTGATGCTCATAAACGATATAAACTTATTCTATGTTTCTAACTTTGAGACACAGTCATGATTTCATATTGTGATAAAACTTGAGGCATGGTGATAACACTTGTCACCTGTATCTTGCAGCATGACGATTGCCTGGGCATTACACCTCAGCTGCAGGATGTGCCTCAGAACTGCACTTCCCATCAGCCACAGCTCCGAGCTCCAATCTGCGATACCTCCCTCCTCATCTGTTGATTGGTTGTTCCCCTTCGAGGGTCTACTGAGGTCCCAAGATGCAGGTGGAGGTCCTGCCTTGCTGAGCTTTAGGTAGAGCGTTGCCACGGTAACCGCACACAGGAAACGCAGAGGAGGACTGTGGCGTTTCAGGTGGTGCAGCAGGTGAAACACGCTCAGATACGAGTCACCGTAATATGAAGCATGACTTGCATAGGAACCACCGGACTCTCTGCTTAGACAGCTTGGCTCTGACTTTGTGTGCTTGTCTCTGATTGGATCCCTGGCCATTTGGATGTTTTTTAACCCCGCCTTCATTGTCACCCTCAGAGCGAGCTGCAACATCACACCCATCACCATCAGATCTGCTCCCAGTGGACACTCCCAGCGGTGATGCTCTTCCCAGGCGTCTCGCTGACAGGAAGCTGAACAGTATCGGCTGTAGCTACACCCCTCACACGGCACAGGACACAGTGTTTCAGTCAAACACCGGTGACAGCGCCTGTGTTCCATTCCAAGCAAGACTCCTCTCTCTGTGTCCTGCCTTCCTCCCATCCCTTTCACCTCCTCCATCCCTGGTATAAGGACACAGCTGTAAGGCCTGTCATTGAGGATCACCTCCCCGGCTGCTATCCTCTCTGCAGCCACCAGGTGTCGACCTTTCTCTGGGCTGAAGCCGACAGCAGCTTGAGGGCAAATGCCAAATGTGAGAGGTCCCTCTTTGTCTGGACCTTTAGGATTCTTTGAGGCCGGACTGTGATGATCCTCTTTTGCCTTTAGGCTTGCAGAGAGGTGCTTGAGGCACTGCGTGCGACGGTCCTCTAGTTTGTGTGAAAGATGAGAGGGATAGCCGTTCTTTAGAGCTTTGTCAATGTCATCAAGGGATTCCTGAGGAAAAGAAGAAACACTGGAGTTGAGCCACATTTAATAAATAATAAATAATAATTAATAAGTGAGTACGGATCTAAACCTAAAGCAGGAGATGCTGACCTGAGAAAGAAATAATAAAGCCATTTCTTTAGGACACTAAGTGAGAAGTGGTCATTGTGGCATCAGGAGTGGCAGAAGCTTCATTACTAGTCTATTTAAACCTCAAAAGGCCTCTGAGTGAATTATTATCCTGCACATTTCAGATTTCATCTGTAGAGTCATTTAGCCCCACACAGGTAGTAAAAACAGCCCATAAAAGACTCTGGAATATGTCTGACTTGCTTTATAAGAGTCGAAGAAATGAATTCATGAAACAAGGCTGAGTCAATTACCCAATCGTGAGGCTGACAGGCTTCAATTAAATAAGGCATTATAGAAGATGAGCCTCTGGTTCCAGAAGTACATCTGCAATAACCTCTCAATGATATTATATGGGTTCCTGTAGTGAAAATCTTATATTACCAAAGTGGCCAAGGAGAAAACTCCTTAATGTTTTCCCATATATCCTCTGACATCATTATGAAATAACCCATTTATGTACACTTACAAACCATCGGCTATTTGTGTGGACTTCAATATAAACTACATCTTAAGCATGTGACAGTACTGTTTATATATAGTATACATTTTCCCTGCAGAATTCCTCCAGTCAAGTGCTGATCAACCTGATCACACACAGATACAATCTGTTAAACATCTACAGGCCCATCTGTAGTCGATAAATAAGAAGCAGAACTGGTTTAAGCAGGTTTTAATGATACCACAAGTACAACACTACCTCATTATTTCATTGTTGAAGATGGCACCAACTCACCTGGTAGTGCTGCAGATGGTAGAGCGCAGCAGAGCGGTTGGCAAAGCACAGAGACAGCTGCTCCGAACTTTGGGGAGCACAACATATGCCCTGTCATGACAGGAGACAAAGGAACTGGATGTTGATGCATGTTAATTAGGTCTGGGAAGGACGCCATGTTTGAGGTATACTGCTATAAAATCCCAAATGCATTTTTTCAGTACTGTTCCCAAAATCTAAACAATTTATATCTACAGTCCATCAGATTTTGAACCAGTTTAGGGAGACATACAACATTATCTGATGAATACTGTTTATAGTGCAACAGAACTATTACTATGTTATATCTTGTTCAACTTCTACTGATCCCATATCCAAAAAACAGCTGAACAGTATGTTTTACATGAAATAAGATTTTTTTTAAAAAGGTCAGATACAGATAATACATAATCAAAAGCAGGCTAGCATTTTGAATGGAATGCTGGACTTTAACATAATTCAGTGTTTCAGTGTGGTGGGTGGAAGTTTCTATTTTCTGGCTCATACAGAACAAGAGAATATGATTTTGACTTCACCTGTGAATAGTGCAGAGCGGCTGCAGTGTAGTCTCTGCTCTTGAAGCTAGAGTTGCCCCTCTCCCTGCATTTGGCTGCTTGTTCTGTGTCCTTCTGTACAGAGTATCCTGCAGAGACCGACTGCACAAAGTCCAGATCATCTGGGCTATGAAACAGAAATGCAGACCATTACAGACTATAGAGAAACTAGATTAGTGTCTCTGTGTTCAACATGCAGCAAGCTTATGTTCAGTGGTGGGATGTAACTAAGTACATTTATTTAAGTACTGTGCAAACAAATTTGTGCTACTTGTACTTTACTTGAGTCTTTTCTCTTTATGCCATTTTATACTATTCCACTACATTTCAGAGGGAAATATTGTACGTTATACTCCACTATGTTTCCTTTAAGCTTTGGTTCCTAGTTACTTTACAAATTAAGATTTTTTTCAGACAAAACATACAAAGAGCTTATAATATATGATGATTGGTATAAATTAAAATACCTAACAGTATACACAACTGCAGCTGAAACTATTAACTTCTATTAACCGAATGGAAAATGAATTGGCAAGTAGTGATAATGATAATCAAAGTAAAAATGTGCAAACATTTATGGTTACAGATTCTCAAATGTGAGGATTTAGCTCATTTTCCTTTTAATTATCTCAATTTATTTAAAATTACTTTGCACTTTGGACTGTTGGACAAAACAAAGCATTGTGAAGGTGTCACTTTGGGCTCTGGGTAATTGTTACCGCATTTCTCACTATTTTCATAATAAAAAAAAAAACATTATTAGCAGATCAATCCATAATTAAAATAATCATTAGTTACAGGCCTATACAAAATATACACTTGCTCTACCTCAACCAACTACAACATAACAACATCCTTTTTCTATAGTATTGCATGAGTAATAATAATCTAGTGGTATATATTAGTATAGAAGTCACATGGGCAGTCTTTTTTAGTACTTTCCTGATTATACTTAACATACTTTGACTCAAGATACATTTTTAATGCAAGACTTCTACTTGTAGCAGAGATTAGTACTTTTACTTGAGTTACAAGATGTGAATATGTACACCTGTATGTTCACTTTAGCCAAGTGAATAAAGTCTCTGCAAAAGTAAAACATGAGAGGAAAAAGTGGTCCAATCAAGGTCCCAAAGACCATTTAGATTGAACTCATAAACTCTCAGACTGATCAGATAGTGACTGGAAACCCGTACAAAAGTACAAAACAGACGTAATGTGAAGGTAGCTACTCACGTTGTCAGAGTCAGGGTGTATTTAAAAACATCGTCTATTTCAAGCAGGGATATAAAATGCTCCTTCAGCTCGGGGTCGAGTCCGGTCCATTTCTGTGCAACGTGATCTTGCCACTGGACACACGGAAGATCCATCGGGAACTAAAATAAAGCACACGAGCACCGGGGGGACAGTTTAGGGGTTTGTTTTGATTCCGTTTCACGCCAACACGCGGCAGTCAGAGAACCACCGTAAAGCTAGCGTGGATCAAATGGGCAAATGGGAGCTTCCGACTTTAACTTTCAAAATAAAACCCGTACCATCTAAATTAATTTTTCTTGACGTCCAAGAAGGATCCTCTAGGCTAATGAACCCCATTAAAACCCATACAAATATCTCTATAATGCATTTCATCAATCGTAAAACAAGGGTGTTTCCTCATGGTGTGGAGATACTTTATATTCATGTGAATGAGTATTAAATTGTAGTTATTGTTAATAACAAATCCAGAATGTTTTGTTTTTCATCCACCATTTATCTTTAGTTACTTTACTCTACTTACTTACATTTTAACTCGGGATGTGAGTTCTACCTGGATCATTTTGATACACGTACAAGTGCTGTCTGCAATATCCAGCCCAGATTTTACTCCTTTACTTTGAAGGCATAAATGTACCATGTCCGGTGCAGTTACGCATTGACGTAACTTTGTGTATTTACGAAAGTATCGTTTGTCTCGTTACTCTCGCGATACCGTCCATACCTTTAACTTGTCTACGCCTGAGAAAAGCTTCTGCTGGCTTTGAGAACCACTGTACCCAGGAGACATGAGTGTAAAACTCACACAGGGGGCAGTTGAAGTAAGCGTAAATATTAATATAGTATATAACTGAAGTACTGCCTTTTGCCTCGGCTCGATGATATTTAGCAATGTAGCGCTACTAGCTGCAGCTGCTAGCACTATAAGCTAACGAGATCACAGCCGAAGCAACGTTTACCATTAATAGATCAAATGGTTCAAACGTTGCTGTCGTTTAATAGTAATACGTTTATGTGGTGAAATAAATGCAAGCTTTTCTCATTTATTGTGGTATTAACGCAGCACAATGCATCATTTATGGGGTTTGAATGAAATATTGAAATTTGCCAAATTCTTACCAAATATTTGGTGTCCAGAGAACTGATTGACACAACAGGAAGGTCTGATCTAGTCCCGTCCTGTTTGTCCACTGAGGCTTACTTGCTAGGGGTTATTACATAATAATAACCACTTCATTAATCTCCAGTTAATTATTGATAGTAACTCTGCTTTATCCGGATGGTAATGTTATGGGACAGGATGGGGCCAGGCAGCATATACTAACAAGTCCATGTATGTTATCGTCTAGGCCCTGTTCAAAGGCTCAGAGGTGAACGATCCTGTGCTGCAGCTGCTGGTGAGTGAATTTAAATGCATTCTCAGTGTATGTGCACTGGAGGCTCCAGGTTTCCACATCATACTTGTCTAAAATGCATAGATTAAGATGAATGCAGAGATGCACTCTCTATGAAAACATACCGCTTTGTATTTTTGCTTATAAAATCCTTCCCTCCCTCTGTGTTTGCCAGAACATCCGTAAGATCACTGGTGACACTGGACCCAGGTACCGGCTCATATTGAGCGACGGTCAGCACTCTTTGTCTTGTGAGTATCTTGCACTAGCCAGAACACTGTCAGACTGTGGGTTCGGTTTGCCATGGTACATATCTTGCCCTTTGGCAGCAGTTTGACAGACAAACATGAAAAGATATCATGAAATATAAAGTACAACAGTAATGCTAAGGAAAATTTGCAGTTCAGAAGATTATCAAGTACCAGTCATAGATAAATCTGTAGAATAACTTTTTTCTCATTGAAATATTTGGATATGTGTGTGTTTGTGTTATATAGCCTTCCTGCTGGCCACACAGTTAAACCATCTGCCAGAAGACAACCTCCTTGTACCTAACTGTGTGTGTAAGGTGAAGAGGACCATCACCAACTCATTGTCAGATGGCAGGTATGTGTTTTTATCTTCCTTCCTCTCCCTATTTTTATTTGTTTGCAGCATGTAATCCCCTTCGGCCTAATTTTTGCTTTCTTCTTCTTGTATTCCAGGATTGTGGTGATTGTGCTGGACATGGAGATATTGCAGTCGGCCGAGGAAACTGGAGGGAAGATTGGAAATCCCACGCTATATACTGTAGACAGTATGGATCTTTTGAAATGCTCATGCATGAAGTTGAAACAGTTGTTAAAAAAAAAAAAAAAAAAAAAAGTTTTTTAAGGTCCCTTATGGTGTTAATTCAACTTACAGGTAAGACCTCAACTCCACAGAAGTCAGCCTCAAGTGTGTCTGTTCCAGCATCCCCTCCATCTGCTGCAGTACCTGGACCCTCCTATAGGAACAGCAGTGGTGAGTGCCAAAGATTTTTGTATTGTGCTCTTGTCCTCTCAGTCATTAAACATAAATGCTGTAACAATTGTTTCATTCCCAATACGGTCCTTTTTTATCAGTTTTTATTGACCAGGACAAATCAAATTAAATCTCTGAAGTACTCTTGGGTTGTCAGTCGTTGTTTATCAGTCAATTGCATGGCAGAAGAAGCTTTTTGTGTTGACCAAACAACAAAAATTTCAGTGCACATGAGGATACTAGGATTGATACTGTTTTATTACATTAAAAATCAAACAAAAAGGACCGAGCTACATATTTCACATGTTGCTTCCTCAGATTCACTCTGTGCTTAATTACCATAACGTGCCTTTTCAATAATCAGCTGTACACAATATAACAGTATTACCAGAAGTATTGTAATATGGGAAAATATAGTGCATGGAATAGCCAGTTTTTGCAGTGATATGAATTGTATCTTATTGTTAATTATGAAATGTAATATTTATATTTCATCTTTAGTGGTAGTAGAATAATATTTGCTATTGTATTTGAATGTGAACCTGTTGGATTCCCTGTTAATCAGCACCTGATTATTTAAAGGCACACCAGTAAATCTGATAAAGCAACATGCGAAACACGTAGTTTTCTCCTTTTTGTGGTTTTTTAATGTAATAAAACAGTGTCAATCCTAGTATCCTGGTGTGTGCTGGAATACATTTTGTTTGGTTTACTTTGGTTTTCCCTGCACCAGCTGGCACCCAGAAGAGAAGCACTGCTGTGCACAGCATATTTTCAGCTTTTTAGTTTTTTGTGTTGTTGACTTCTCATTCTCAGCAGCAGTAACTAAAGACAAATGTGATTAGGGGTTGGGAAGTATAATATTCTGCAGCAAAGAGGTGATACATTCTGAGCATATTCTACCTGAGGTTTCATATCTAGAGCACACACAACAGCAAGACTCCACTTGTTTTACAGCCAACAAATTGGATGAATTTAACTCTAAAGCATACACCTATTGATTACTGCACCGACATTGTCGATATTGCAAGAACATGCCACAGCTAAACATTTGCTTTCCATGTACGAGTGGGCAGTATGGGGTTGATGCAGATTAAATACAACACAGACAGACATAGAGTTTGGTATAACGATTAGTTTAAAAACATCTCTGGTCTGTGTGTTTTTAACCGATAGTATTGACAGTAATACCAAGAATATATGCAAATGCTTTCCCAAGCCACTGCATGCAAGGCGGAGAGGTCTGAATAAATCATTTTTAAACACAACAAAACACTTCACCCAGAGGCCCTCAAGCTCTCTGTTCATGGATATTACATGCCAAATAGATTAATGCTACTTATTTGCTGAGCAGATTACAGTAATTAAATACCTAACTAATATAAACAGGTTCTAATTTCTTTATTTAGCAAAGTTAGATGTACTGGGCACTAGGGTGTTGCTCAACCTGAATACAGTTTTGTCACACAATGTATTCTTTATTCTGCAGTCAGCAGAAGGAACAAGTGAAATATAGTGTTTATGGAGGACCAATTATGAATAACAATATGAAGTCAGGGTAGCGAGTAGGGATCTTTTTCAAGTAATAACTAATTCAACATCATTTTGGGCTTTGTGACATGTGAACCTCTCAGTTAGATGATGAGTTGTTGTGTCTTTATTTAAAGATCCGTTTGCTTCTCAACATAATAACAACACAATGTTCTGTTCATTTGTTTACACCAGTCATTATCAGCTGTGTAAGAGTTGAATGGTAATTATTCTTTTTCTGCTATGTTTCGATTGTTATTTTAGAGGAAATGTGAATAATTTGATAAACCCTCATTTCACCAACAGAGGGAGCCATGTACCCATTGAGAGAGGGGGGGTTGATGAATGATTTGCAGTCCTCCCTGGTTTTTCTCCTCAATACTGTTGTTCTGCAGCCATGATTTGGGACCAGCAGAGTCTTTTGTTGTTTGTTTTTCAAATCTCATTTACTATACTGCACTTTAACCAGAACTATGCAGTGAAAAGTAAATCCTGGCTTTCATGCCTTTGATATTCATAGCACCTTAGTGTTCAAAGGCTGTAGTCTGAGCGTGGGTTAAGAAGCAGATGAAACGGGATCATAAGGCAGAGGGTGTTTTTCAACCAGTTGAAGGTAGCCACAGGAAGTGCCAAATTAATGGAAGTTCTTTCAGTTTAAGTGCCCCATTTTTACATCACTTTGTGCACTTTTATCATATATACTGCTTAGCTATCAGAGCTGGAAACTATCTTGCTGCCCACTGGCCACTGCAGACTCCATAACTCACATCCTTTACCATTTTACCACCAACCCGATTTTTATAACAGAATAGGGCCTCCAAATGATGGTTGGTTTTCTGCCAAAATGGCTGATTCCATCTATCATGCCTAAAGTAGCCTGTGTTTTATTTGATCTTCTTTTATTAGCTCAGCCTTTGTTTCACTCAGTTGTTTTATACCACCAACTGCTCTCAGCATCGACATTGATTTTTTTATGTGGCAGAAACATACCAAAAGTCCTCCTCAGTGGAGGATGTAGGCATGTGGGTGGATAATGAGTGCTCGGTATATATTGTGTGTGTGTGTGTGTGTGTGTGTGTGTGTGTGTGTGTGTGTGTGTGTGTGTTGTGACTGAGGGAGCTTGTGTGGGCCGATGGCTCCTCTAGTTCATGGCTTCATGAATATTGTGTTGTGGACTGGATCCCCTTGTAGCGATGCACAGACGGAGGGAGAAAGGAAAAAGTCAACTAAGTTGTATCCTTTGAATCACGTTACCTCGGAGAATCCACCAGATACAGAGAACCTGCTGCTCTGTTTAATTGTCCTGTTGATGAAATGGCCCTGCATTCCTCTTTTGGAGCCAAAAACAAGCCTCTCAAAGTATTTTCTCCAACAAGTGTTTGATTATTTTTCAATATTTTTGTAAATTGCATTTTAAGTAAGTCGATAAACTTGTGTGCATTCACACGATTGCTAAATGCCACAAATGAAACGTTTCCAACAAGCTGAGGGCAATGTAATGATGAGGGCTGCTGTTTTATTAGAGGGTCTGGGTTCAAGCATCTGTTAAGTCCTTGAGAAACCCACTGAATCTCTGGGTGCTTCCTTTTGGCTAACATGGCTCCTTGCTTCCTTTATTCACATCTCTTCCTTGTATCATAGCTCCTTCCAGCGGGCAGGCGAAAGAGAGCTAAGACACGAGGGAAAGACAGAGGATGGAGGAATTGTATTTACGAAATGGGACATCCTTGCTCACTTTGCTCAAAATTTTCATGAGACGCAGCATCTTAACTCTCCAGTAGTTTGTAGAAATAATTAAATAAGAGCTTTAAACGGCTCCAATAGCAATCATAGATCCATTACTGCGTCAGAGCATGATAGAAATAACACCAATAAACAAATACATTTGTTTATTACTGAGAGAATAGAACAGACAAGAGGGAACATTAAAATAAAATCAATAATTAGCCTGTGAAAGGCTGCAGGTACAGTAAGTCTGTCCAATTCAGGCTCAGGCTGGATATTATAGGACTAATAAAACCTGTGCAGCTTTTTGGGACAAACATTTTTCCTGACTAAGCCAAGATACACTTGGAGCAGAAAAGATTTTAATTTGTTAGATTGTGATTCAGATTAAACACACATCTAATCCTTTTTATTTTCTGGATAAACATGAAAAATGTTAAAGCTGCCATTGGTGTTATTTGTTTCTACGGGTAGTTTGCTCAATCAACAGGATTGCACTAATGCAATAAAATAATATTTTAGTTTCAACAGTCCACAGCTGACCAATCACTCTTGTCAATCATTCTGATTGAAATGTTGCTGTCCGGTATAGAATGTGTGGATCTGTACTTCCCCTCTCCTTTCTTCTCTGAGACATATTTAAGCATGGGGACATCCTTTATGATGGCAGAACTTGATAAATTTCCAGATCACAGGCGAGAGGATGGAGGAGCGAGGACTGGAGGAAGCGTAATTAGCTGATTGAAAAGTAGCCCCGATCGGCTCCAGGCATTCTGTTCTGTTTTGAACTCTGACCTTGGACATCCTCAGAGTGGGAGGATGTGGTCAGAGAACATTTTTCCCCTTGTGTTAGTTGGAATGTTTTAAGCATTGAATATTGTTCGAGGATTCCTTGAAAGCTCTGTCACAAAATACATTGTATTCTCTCAGTTAAAAAAAACAACAACATTTGAATCGCAGTAGTAATATTCTGAAAAAATCCTGTCTTTCAGCAGTAGGTGTAAAGTCAAAGGTTTTGACATAGTTGTCACAGGCAGTTTTGTGTTCCCATTTAAATATTCATCAGCAGCTATCCTTGAAATAGACTACCTTCAAACTGCTTCGCAGATGATATTTAAATTCTAAAAAGAGATCTGCACTCGCTGAAGTACAGTTAAAAAAAAATCATTATTCATCACTAACCATTCTCTGCAGGTTTCCTTTGTGCTCACTCTTTCTCTTTCTCTTTCTCTCTCTCTCTCTCTCTCTCTCTCTCTCTCTCTCTCTCTCTCTCTCTCGTAAACACACACGCTTTTACACACTCACTTTCTTATTCACTTTTTCTATTTATTGCTGTTTTATTGTCTATATATTTCTCTATCTGTTTCTCGTCCTACAGTATCCTCACCAAGCCAAGCCCTCTTCACAAACAGGGGCTGTTGCATACGTTACCGGCATACATATTAGGACTCAGTACTGATCTTAATCACAAAAAATTTGGATCTTGATAAACCTCTGTCTTTTCTCTGTTCTTCACCCCACCCACCCATCCGCACCTATCATCTCCCCTTCTCTTCTTTTGGTACCAACTCCTTCCATCTACCACTCCATCCAGATAGCGTGTATATGAATATTGATGTTAATTACCCCTCGCCTGAAAATAGCTGTTCAATCTGTGATTTCCCTAAGGAATTGGCTCGTGCACACACACACACACACACACACACACACACACACACACACATACACACACACACACACACACACACACACACACACACACACACACACTTGTATGCACCCGCAAAAGAGGGTATCATAGAGGTGAGTGTTTGTTGTGCTCCATAACAGGAGCTTAAATCAGGGGAGTGGTCTCTGTGGAATTGCATCTTTTTATCCCGAACAATTCTTCCCTCAAATGCTGGCAGATCATCCAGGCCAAAATGAGGCATTGCATAAAATACATTTTGACAACAGCCAACTATCTAGCCTGAATCACTGCTGATGGGGCTGATGCTACTTTGTTGTGGGAGGTGAGGTAACACCTTGTGATGCTGTGGGCTGGTCCGAACTGTTCAGGCATTGTCATTTGTGAAATGAACATAAAATAAAAAGCTGAACAGTTGTTTTAGAAACAAATGGAACTTATTCTTAACTTTTTTTTAGTAGTTGTGGTGTTTTATTTGTATGTGAGATTTTATATTAGATCTGAGTAAGTGGGCACCTAATCAGAAATAATGTCGACATAGTTCTTCAATTTAACAATCAGTTCAATTCACATGACAGCATACAAATAAATAACAAAAACAATAAATGCCAGCTTCATTAATTACACAAGTTCAGGTGCTTATCTGACAATATCTGATAAACCTTTAGTGGCTGAAATACTAGAATATGTTCTTCTTACACAGAATGATGGATATTATATATTATATTATATATAAATAATATGTTAAGAAGAAGAATATAGCTGCATCATTTATTCATGCTACTATATGCTATACTGCCGATTTGAACAAATTTATTTTAAAAATAATACCCTCTAAACTCTGACTCAAACTAAATATAAATGGTCACAATGCATGAATGTGGTTAAGACTAGTATTTTCAGATTTATGCCTGGTGTCTTTGCCACAAGACTGATATTCTGATTACTAATCCTAATTATTCTTTTTCCTATGACTGAAAGGCATAAGTATAGTAATTATGAAGTTAATAATTGATTGGCAGCCCAAGAAGAAAAACACAGTTTAATTCATTGGCACAAGCTGATGTTAACAGAGAGTTGAGTAACTCTACAGAGAGATTTGTGGGGAGAGTTTAACTTTCTTTGGCATTTTATCATTTTGGCAGCTGTTGATGAGATAACCGTACTACCACTAGTGTTTAATTAAGTTTCCACTCTATGGTCACCCACTGTTAGTGAGAACTTTGTCATGTACATGTGGTAATAAGTATCCCACAATGTATCGAACATCTATACAATCATTGAAGAAATGATAAAAATAATACTGTTGCCATATTTGTATATAAAAATAAATATAATTCATCCAGAAATTCATTTAAAGAGGAACTTTACCAATATGGCACATTAAAGTCTGTTTACAGGCTTTGAGGAGTACTACTGCAAATGTGCAAAAAACAAAGTTGCATAAAGTCTTTTGTGGCTCCAGAGGGAAACTACAAGTTTGGAGATGAAAAAAATCTGTGGGTGTAGAGTTGGAAAGAAGTGAGCTTACCAGCCCGCTCCTCATACTTGAGACTAGTGGCTCGAGGCCACTTAAGCTGCTACTAGCATAAAACAACCCGAACCTCCGGCAGTCTAGTTGCATTGTGGGTAATGTAGGCATCATGTTTTGACAAGGAAGAATGTGTGGAATGAAAAAGACAATATCTGTTATATACGGTGTTACAGGCGTATCATCTAAATCTGTGTATTTGGTTCTCAGACAAAATGGCACTGTTGTACATACATACATACATACATACATATTTACATATATATTTGATTTAATTGTAGGGCTGCAGTCAATCATTATCATTGTCAATTATTTTTTATTCGATTTATTTTTAAACAAATCGGCATGAAAATGCCAGAAAACTGTTAAAAATGCCAATCACAATTTCCCAGAGCCTAAGGCAACATCTTCACAGTGCTTTTTTTTCTCAACCAACAGTCCCAAACCCCTAATATATTTCATTTAAAATGAAATAAAACTGGGAAAGCCAGCAAATCTTCACAAGCCAGAACCAGCAAATGTTTGCTACACTTTCTCAATTACATCAATTACAAAAATTGTTGTCAGTTTACCAGTTAATAATTAGCTAATCTTTCAGCACTATTAAATTGCCACATTGCCATCTAATATGGAGTACTCCTGTATCTAATTTTGTTTCCCAGCAGCCCTTTCTCCTCCCAGAGGCAGCGGAAGAGGGTTTTTTGGAAAGTCACCCATGAAGACTTCCCCGATGAAGGCTTCTCCAATGAAGGCTTCTCCAATGACGGCTTCTCCGATGAAGGCTTCCCCCATGAAGTTTTCGCCCACCAAGTTTTCGCCCACAAAGTTTTCGCCCACAAAGTTTTCGCCCACAAAGTTTTCACCCATGAAGGGTGACAGCACTTCTCCAGGTTCTTCAACAACAGTGATTCCTATTGCTCACCTCAACCCCTACCAAAGCAAGTAAGTTTAAGTGTCTGTGCCCATGTCTGCATGTGTCTGCTTTCATATACATTTAGAGCCTCTGTAAAATAATTTTAACACAACTTAAACTCTGTAGGGAATAGTTATAAAGCTTGAACCTGACAGGCATTTCCTCCCAAATTGCAAACAAACTCTTCTATATGATTTCACATTTTTTCCCCTTCCGCTCATTCATCAGCTAAACTATTTCCTCTCATGCTGTGACTCTACTTCCCTGTTTGCTGCCATTTCTGAGAAGCACTTAGGGGCATGTTTGGAAATGTGTGTCAGTATAAATGTGTTTGTGCATACATGTGTGAGCATTAATTTCTTTCCGTATCAATGTGTGTGTGGATTTGTGTGTGTGCATGTTAGCCAGCCCATCTGCAAGGAAATTAAATGACCGATCGTGCCTCAGAAATGGACACTTTAACTGCAGGTACTGCTGGCTCTTTATGGTCTGCTGCTGAGGTTTTGATTCCGTTATTTGGCCTGGTGGGGATTTGGCCAATCGTTTTTTTTCTTACAATTTCTTTACCTCCTCCAGGAGTCCATTTTACTGCTGTTTTTTTCCCCTCTCGCTTCTTATCGTTTCATTTGGCTAAGTCTCTGTCTCTGACCTTAAAGGTGGTCACAAAAAGACAAGAGAACTGTATAGCAAGATGTAGTTGCCCAGATAGGAGTAAAGGTACCCTGTCAACTCTCTCTCCATGTTTGGGCTCTGATAACGTAGCCCTGTTTGAAATTGCAAGCTGTAAAGATAACTGTGCCTCTAGGTGTTGTAATAAACTGATGACTGTTCTAACTTTGAAGCAGGGGGAGTACCTACAGTGAGTAAAACAGATGACTTCAGCAGCTGTTCTTTTGTGTATGTTTGCGTGAAATGAAAAGAGCCTGTGCGTCTGTGTGTGACACGAAGTGTTACATACAGTAGATTATATAGGGATGCTGTGTATGTGCACTTGGTCTTTTATGGTGGTTTGCATTGCTCACTCATCCCATTCTCCTGGTGTTAAGTAATAGCATCTAGAGCAGACTATAATTGGCTTTTGGCTGCCATAAACCTTGGTGTAGCAGTCTTATCCATACTGAGCAGGGAATGGGGTTCACTCTGGGCCAGCAGCTGCTCTCATGATAGGGGATTTAATTGCAGGCAAAGTTATGGTATGAATATCCTCCACTGCACAATTATCAACGCAGTCAAAAAGCTCACTGCTGCATAAACTGCCGTGCTTGGCTGGCTGTTGTTAAAAACAGAATAAGAAGCACATTTTAAATGCACCCAGAAGTTGGCAGATGTACAACACCTAGTTCACTCTTTGAAAAGAAAGTTGCTGGATGCTTTTTTTTCTCTTTTCTTTCATGGAACTTTAAAAAGACTGAAAAAGACACTCTTCCAATTTCCTTGGGAATTGTTCTTTTGCGCAGTTGTGTTTCACATTGGTGACTGATGTAAGCAGAGTTGGAATGCTCATTAACAAAAAAGGAAGCTTTTTAAAGTGTCTCTGCAGCGAGCTTTGCTGTTTGCGCTGACCTTTAGACTGCAGCTCCTGTACTTGCACATAACAGTGCTGGTCAAAGAAAACTTTTTTGTAATTTATTTTAGTATAGAAAATGAAAACATGATGGAAGGCACTTCTGTAACTTTAACAAGTAAAATATTTGCAATGCTTAGATTTTGCTCAGTGGGCATTTGAGAATGTTTTGATTAAAGTATTTTGAAGTATTGGGATGTGTGCCATTTAGAAGGATCTATTGGCAGAAATTAAATGTAATATTCATAATTATGTTTTTATTAGTGTAAAATCATTGAACCTTTTATATCTACAGACACCCTGGGTTGCCATCCATGTAGGCAACCTTGTTGAACTGCCATGTTTCTACTGTAGTCCATAACAGACAAACACTGGCACCCAAATACTGACTCTATATAGGGCCGTTTGTGTTTGTTGGGGGCCATTGTAGTTTGTCTTTCACGCTTGGAAGAGTAAGCAAGGAAGTTGTAGCGAGGGAGTTACAACCTGCTTTGTTGACACATACATTGTAAGTGCTGATTCATTATTAAGTGTATACTCTATGTGTATCTCTAGGTGGACTATCAGAGCCCGAGTCACCAACAAGTCCAGTATCCGCACCTGGAGTAACTCTAAAGGAGAGGGAAAACTCTTCTCTTTTGAGACAGTAGATGAGAGTGTGAGTAGGGGAGGGAAGAGGCCTGAATATCTGTTTGTTATGCGCATGCATGTCAACATATGTCACACATGGCTGTTTTTTCGTTTTATCCGTGAAACGAAATGTTGTTTAATGGAAATGTGCTGCTCAACAGGGAGAAATCAAGATCACAGCCTTCAACAAGGAGGTGGACAGGTTTTTCTCTCTAGTGGAGCAAGGCAAGGTGAGCAGATCCCACTCACCCACATCCATCCTCACTTGAAGTGATAAGAGCTTCTTGGAAACTTCGCTTAAAAGTGATAACTTTTGTACATATTGCACATCTCCAATAGCTTAGAATGTAGAAAGGACATTGTCTGTCCTCACATTGTGTCAAAAGGAGCTTCCAAACGTGGTCGCCATTTCATTTCTTGGATGAAGTTGTTTCAAGAGCCGTTGTAACAACAGTGACACAATACCTGAAGGCTATAAGTAATTTACAGAGTCGTTGCACAGTAAACCTCTGTCTCAGGTATCCATTTTGTAGGCACATAACGCCTCAAATAAATGCAATGGTAAAATAGTGCCTAATAAACCTGTCTGCAAAATCCTCTCAAGCCTATAGGACTTCTGGCCACTGAATGAGCCAGAGGCAAGTATTAGAGGATTTTGTGAAAGGGATTTATTATGTCATATTTTTCTGTATGAGACATATTGAACATTTGGGTGCATATATGTGGTTGGGAGTATGCTGCTGAGAACAGTGAGAGAAAACTTGTCGAATCTGATGTGTTGATATTATTTTGCTTGCTTTATTGTATCAGAACTGGCTGCCAGTCTCACACATGGATGCATAAAGAGAACCGGATACAGCGTTGGAGGCGGCATGCCGTTCATTCCTATGAAAGCTGCCCAGTGACGCACAAATTAAAAAAAGCCACAGTGGTTCATAGAGGATATAGGAGACTTCCGATGGCTGAGCCGGCTAACTTCCATTTTAGCCTTGATTGGGCATAAATAAGGGGTCTCAAACTCTGATTGGCTTTGCGCCACTACTGCTATTGTCATCTCTTTGGGGGGCCACTTCAACATTGAAGTACTGTTGAATTGAATCTTGCAAATTTTCTAGACTTTAAGAATCTTATCATACTGAATGGATCAAATTCTGTTTAGGGAAACGAGTCTTTTCGCAGGCGTTGTGACGCTAAAAAAAATAATCAAAAAAAATAGTAAAGTAAAATATAAAGTATTTTTGGGCCAGTGTGCATTATGTTACAGACGCCATTGCTGTAATTACACAGTTTGGCCAGTATGTCAAACTGGCTTCAAAGCCCGGCGCTCTTCCAGGGGAAACTGTTCCTGTAAGATGTCAAAGGATAGGATAGGTTTTTTGAATCTAACTTCATACAAAACTCCCATGCCCACATGTACGTTGAAAGACTTGTGGGTCACTGTAATTGCTCTTCCTCTTCTCCACACTGGTAGTGCATCGATCCCTTCGTAGTGAGTACGCTAGAGGAAATGGGGAGAAAAAAGACTTTATTCTGTGCAAAAATGCATTCTGCGGTTTGGCCTAAGCTAATATGAGGCTTCAGCAGTCTTAGTTAGCCTAATTAATTTGGTATCTTTGGCCTGGTAGTTGTGTGTAGGTTTATTGCCAGTGTTATGTCCTGGCAATGTAACTGCCAGAATGTACGGCTCAGTGAGGAGGCCCTGTCCGGGTAAACAAAAAGATGGATTTCAAAAAACTATGTTAGTTTGGAATATACCCACTCTATTTGGGTAACTCTGACTGCTGAAGCTTCATATTCGCTTTGGCTGTAATTCACAATACATTTAGCACAGGCCGAGGACACTAGATTTTGTCACGCTTCTCGTACAGTATAGTCACGGTGCAAAGGGATCTCTGCACAGCAAGTATCAAGAGGACGACATGTACATGGGCAAGTGAATATATAGTGAATAAAGGTTTTCTTACATGTTTTCTACAGTGTAAATCTAGAATTAAACTCCAAAACAAACACTTTTACACATAAATCTTTTGGTCTTAAAGAATCTTGTAGGTAGCAGTTGTGTATAAGATCATCTTTCAACAAGAGGGCCCTGATTCAAGACCTTCTGTCAGCAAGCATCTGCTTTACTGTCCTTTAGTAAGAAATGTAATGCCTACCAGCTCCAGCTCCTGTTGCATAACTGACACTGATGCTCGCCTCTGACCTTGCTGGAGGGCTGCAAATCAAACTGAATTTTATACAAGAAGAAAAGTATATACAGTAGGGTCCTTTAATATAATCATGGATATTAAGGAATGATTCATATTTAGGAATTCCTTGATAATACTTTTGAGGACACAAATTAAATGGCGCCTTCAAATGAAACTAGTGAAGGCCAGTGAGTTTTTTCCCACATGGGAAGTCAGGCACTCAGTGTACAGTATGTTGCATTCAAGTGATTAAACTGATAAAAACACCACATTAATAGGCAAGTGATAAAAGCAAAATGTCAGATGGGGTGTACAGATGCATGGTGACATACGGTGAGAGACATCTACATTGTTTCCTAGAAAGAGAGTTAGCACCAGCCACTGGGACCAGCTGAAAGAATAATAATGAGAAACATGCAACAGTCTGTGTTGTTTGTGCAAAAATGGGTGGTCAGTCTGCCCTTTGCATGTTCCTGTATTACTATGCAATTACAGACAGGTAGAACACATGTTAAAGCTCTTTCTCGGCTCAGTCTGGCCCACAGAGCTTAATAACTCAATTAACCTTGGCCATCATTTTGCTAGTCACACTGGCTCAGGTATCAGCCACTGGCAGTGACTCCCAACACAGCCCCAGATCCAATTTGTGCCCTCTGCCCTCAAAAGATAAATAAAGGAATGAATCCGTCTTCCCTTCGTGATCTGAGTATTGACAGAACAGTGAGTGGGTGTGACTGGCTCTAAGCGGCCAGAATGCTTATCACATGCTCCTATCTCTGTGTGGGGTAAATCAGAGAGAGAGCAAAGAAGAGAGAGGAAGGAAAGGAAAGAGAGTAAGCCAAACTCAGAGAGAGAGAGAGAGAGAGAGAGAAAGAGAGAGAGAGAGAGAGAAAAAAAGAGTGAGAGAGGATATTTGAGAGTTGGGAGAGTAAATGAAGAAGTGCACCTTGCATATTGAGTCTAAATTGTGCTGTTTAGCTGACCTACTCTCTCGCTGCTTCTTATTTTATGGTGAATTAGAGAAGTGATGGGGCTGATATGACACCACAACTTGGTTGTACCTGAAGGTTTTTCTGTTCTTATTAAGAGGTTTTGGTGGAACAGAAGCTCTATTGTAATAATAATAATTTCCCTTGCAGGATCCATAGAGTGGTTGCCCAGTTCGATCAGTCATAGTTGCCTCAAACTCACAGGAAATAACCAGTTTGATTAGGTCTAATTGTATAATGCCTGTACACCTTGCTTGCCCTTTTTCTGTGTAGGTGTACTACATCTCTAAAGCTACACTGAAGGTGGCCAACAAACAGTACACCACATTGAAGAATGACTACGAGATGACCCTCCATGCTCATTCATCCATCGTGCCCTGTGATGACAGTCAGGGCGTACCCACACTGCACTGTGACTTTGTGCCCATCGCAGAGCTGGAGAACAGAGACTCGGACACCATCATTGGTAAGAGAAGATGTTAATTCTACCATTTAACCGATAAAATAACAACTTAACAGCGAGTGAGTAGGTTGAGCTTTAGTTCCAAAGCCAGTAGGGCAAAAAGGCAAAAGCAGGAACCGTGGCTGCTCCGGTATTGTAGACTCACAAAGCCAGACTAAATATCACATGCTCAATTTTTGCAATCAAGACTTGAAAACATTAATAATCAGCTGACCTACATACGTATGTGTCAAACCAATCAGCAATCTGTGGTGAGGGTTCAGATAATGACATGACTCACCCCCTCTACAAACTTTGTGAACAACCACTGAATGAAGTGTGATTTATAAAGTGTGTGTGTGTGTGTGTGTGTGTGTGTGTGTGTGTGTGTGTGTGTGTGTGTGTGTGTGTGTGTGTGTGTGTGTGTGTGTGTGTGTGTGTGTGTGACTTTTAGTGGACGGGTGTTGTCAGGCTAGGACATGTTGGTTGCTGCCAGTTTTAGAACGTCTGGGTTATCAGCTGGGTCATCTCTCCACCTGCTCAGTCAACCTAGGCAGTAACAGGTTATAGATATAGATGTTAAAAAAAACTAAGCTAATAGACAGGCATGTGCCAGTCAGCCATGTGCCAGGTGTCATGGAAGAATACATTGTGACAGGATCAAAGGGAAGGTTAATTCAGGCATATAGTAAAGAGGAGAGATAAAAAAAAAAAAAGAGGATAATGCTCATTCCACTGTTTTCATGAAGGTTAGTCAGTGCCTGCCCTCTGTGTCTGACAGGAATGTCTTACTCTGCAACAGGCAAATTGGGATCGTCCAAGTGCAGATTGGTGTTGAAATCAGTGATTCAACAGTGTGCTTTATATATTTGGTAGCTTGCTCAAATGATCACAGGTGTGACAGCGACCTTTCTGTAGTTGCGTGCACGTTGAGGGGTGAGGACGTAATCTTGCATGTCACATTAATAAGCTGTTTTTGTTATTTATGAATTAGGCTGGGTATCATTTAAACGTTTATTATATTAGTGTGGAATCGATACCCCAGTTTCAGTACTGATACCTAAATAATGTATTTTTTATTTACTTACTTTTGAGTAATATGTCTTTCATTTAACAACCAAGGTTTTTTCTAAATGAAAGAAGCCATACTGGAAGTAAAAAGATAATTTAAAATGGGCACAAATTTTGATTTAAATCAGGAACTTTCTGATAGCAGAATAAATAAACAAGCTTACAAATATGATCGGACAGTTTTTTTAACCAAAAAAATTAACCTCTATTTAAAACAAGATGACAATGTGCTATACAAGAGCTGACTGATGTCTGTTGAATTTCCCACCGCACCAATCAGCATAGGTCCTTTTGTACTTGTGATCAGCCACCCAGATGTGATTTTGCATTGCACAATAATGCAGTGCTATACTGCATAAGGTCAGCAGAGCATACTGCAACTGCTGGATGGCAGCACAGGCAGGGCTATTATTTCTTGTGACTGTCAGACACGCCATATTACAGAACAAATTAATGGTCGTAAAGAAGTGTAAACAACATACTGTGACCTGCTGAGTGGAAGATTCATGTAAGTTTACATTCATTGCATCATTAAATTAGTGTAAACTGTGAGCAATCCAAGACAGCACGGCGGCACGCTACGCAGTTAAGAGATGCACTGAGCGGTTTACCTGGAGGAGTGTGTTTGTGTCGGTCGCAGAGGGGCAGCATTACATGTCCTGTGTGTCATCTGTTGTCTCTCTATTCACTCCCTCTGCACTCCCTCTCTCCCTGCTCCTTTGTTAAATAGGGGATTATAACATGGTAATGAGAACTGTCAGCCTGTTCCTGTGGTGATAATGGAGTTCAGAGGTGGATGACATCGTCTCAATCATAATGGAATTAAGGAGGGCTGAGAGAGCACAGACAGAGAGCAAGGGAGGAACGGGGAAGGAGGAGGGGGGGATTTAGAAAAAGGTTAGCAGAAGTAGCAGACAGAAGGATGAAGTTCAGAGAAGGAAGTAGGTTTGCAAAATCTATATAATAATTCTGTCCAGTCATTTTATTTAACGCATGGTCATCACTAGTTCTGACACCATGAGGTATCCAACACAAATGTGATCATTGTTAAGCCATTTAAAGTGTTTTTGATCACTAGTAGTGCTATGCAGGGGCGTGTCCAGACTTTTTTGACTGGGGGGGGCACAAGTGCGGCACTTACTTAGGCAGGGGTGGCATGAAGTAGGTGTAGCAGCTTTCCAGAAATTCCCCATTTATGCAATTCCAACACTGTTTAGGGGCTCCAGTATGCAGAAATATTCCAATACTCTTGGCAAAAGTAACACAATTATATTACATGGGGAAAAAAACTGCATGGTTTTGCCTAAAACTGCATGGGATTAGCATAAAGTGGGCATTTCTGCAAAGGGAAGACCCGTGGGTACCCATAGATCTCATTTTCATTCAGATATCTTGAGGTCAAAGATCAAGGGATCCCTTTGAAAATGTCAATGCCATGTTTTTCCATCACCAAAATTTAGCCTACGTTTTGAGTGTTATTTAGTCCTTTTCCTGACATGCTTGCATGGTTGGCACTAATGGATGCGTTTGTTTGGTCATCTAATTTATATGACACCAGTGGCTTCACTCTAGCTTTATAACAGACAGCTACAGTCTCTGAAAGACAATGTGGAGTGAAAGAGGTAAGGATAATGAGGTGGCCAGTGCCCTCTGGACACTGTTTTTACAAATAGAGGACATGCAACACGATACACATATCTCCCGCCTGTTTCACATTATTCCACTGATCTACAGAACACACAAGGAAACATAGCAGTGTGCCAACAAGGGCAAGGAAGAAGAAGACTGCAATCTTTTAAAACATAAATATGAAAAATGCAGTATTTAAAATATTAAAAAATCGCTTCGCAAATGTTTTATTAGTAAGGAAATGCACTCATTTGTCAGGTCCCATGGATGCACACAGTGCGTTTTGGTGAGTGACACTGAATGTAAACATAACTTTGTTTGTTTACAAGAAAACTCCAGAGGGCATCTTAAGTTATTCATCAAGTAAAGATGACAAAACTCTGCTGCTTACTGCTCTGGCTGCTTTTCCCTTGTTCCATATGAATGAAATTAAGATGTAAAGAGGGACTAGTACATCATCAATGCTCATCACGTGATGATCTTCTGTCATCGTTTTCACATTTTATCTTCGGAAGGTTCAGTTTATTGAATTAAAATTGTACAAACACTATGACATGGGGTTATGTCATAGCATTTGAGATGCATTAATCCTGTCGTTGAACACTATCCTAATCTAATCTCTATTTGTTTCCTTTATATTCAGTAACCTTGTGACAATCCTATTTGTTGTACAATAAGCGTTTAATAAATTAATTTGATATGTTCTGATTTAGTGTTTAATATCAGTCATGGTAGGCCAGGCTCTTCACCTTCCTAGAGCTCAGCAATGACTGCTCTTCAGTGCAGTAATCCTGAATGAGGTTTTTAGGCCTTGAGCATGACAGGAAACATGAATGAGGAATGAGTGTGTTTGTTGTGATTTGGAGTGTGGGCCTGGGTGTTAGCCAGCTTGTTATGACATTTATGTCAGTCTGCTCTGTCTTGGCAATATCAGAGGCATGTCAACTCTGTGTCTTTACTACTTATGATGTGATAACACTTTACATTATGTAGTATAAATGAGTAATCCAGGAGGCATTTTTACACTTTATACTTTTCAAAATGCCCTTTTCTTACCTCGTTATAAGCATATTTGTCTACCTGTTTTCATGAACCATCTGTATCTATCTATAGGAATGTTTAATGATTGTCTCTGTCTGTAGATGTGATTGGAGTGTGTACGACTGCAGATGATGTATCCCGTATCACCACTAAGACCAGCAGAGAAGTCTCCAAGAGGGCCCTCAACCTAATAGACAACTCTGGCAAAGTGGTGGCAGTCACATTGTGGGGAGAGGAGGTAATGATCTATAATCTATAATCTCTTTCTCTACTTTCTCTCTTTCTCTGTATCCAGGGATGGATTTGCAGTTTAACATAAAAACAAGTAGGACAAGCTATAGTTAATCATGTGTTTATTAAGGTGCCCATCCATGTATGTGCCTCTGCGTCCGTGTCAGTAACATATCTCTGTGTGCTCTTGCATACAGAGGCGTTTGATTAGGTTTTCTCTAGGCTGTAAATTCTGGATCGGTCAAATCATTCCTGTGACCTTCAAAAGTGTTTTGGACCAGAGTCCCTGATCTGAGACGGAAAGGCTAAATAACTCTCGAATGTGCATGAAATGGCACTATTCTTCTCTAAGCTCATTCAATCTGCAAGTGCTAATCCCTCCTCTTTGCCAAAATCCAAAAAATGACTTTCAAATTAACTTGTAGGTTGTCCAATTATAAAAGCAAACTATACCACATATTAATTTCTGGTCTCTCCAACGAGCTGCACAATGTAACATATAAGAAACAATAACACAACTTATTTTTTTGCTGTCTATTGCGCTCCGTCTTCCTCTCCTCAATTACTGTCTTTGACACAGTTTCTTTCTCTCTTCAGGCAGAGAAGTTTGACGGCTCTGGGCAGCCTGTGGTCGCCGTCAAAGGAGCTCGCTTGTCTGATTTCGGGGGCAGATCTCTCTCCGCTTTGTTCAGTTCAACAGTCATGGTCAACCCAGACATACCGGAGGCCTTTAGACTAAGGGCCTGGTGAGTCACATGGCGTACAAGCATATACCAACGTTCAAACACACCATTTATAAACATACAAATAATTGTCCACTCGTGCTGTCATGTACACCTTGTGCACAGAAACTCAATGACGTCATGACAAGCACGACACAAGACAGTATGTGTAAACAGACAAATCACTCTACAAATATCCTCTTGTTGCCGAAATGCTTCTATAAATAAATAAATAAATAAATAACCTATGACAAATACAAAACAAAGGGCATGCTCACACATGCACACACACATAGTGCAAAGCCCTGACGATCACGTGTCAGGAGACATGGTGGCATGTGCCTCCTCAATCCCAGTGGGACTCCAGACAGGATGTAGACAGGATCAGATAGAGGGAACAGAAAAGCAGAACATGGATATTTCTGGATTCCAGCTCTGAACTGCTATACTTTACGTGCACAGAGAGATGGAGTCGCATAAAACTGGATTCTTATTAGCAGTTCCTGTGTAGGGATTTTAAATTATGACTCATTCACTCATTAAGGCTGTTCCCAACTCTGGCCACAGCTGAAATATAAATGCGTTTATCCTTTTTTTTTTTCCCTATGTACATGTGAGTGTACATATCAATGCTTCAGTGTGCATACGATTGCCTGTGTGCTACACTGAAAGCTATTCTTGGGGATAAAATTGCATCAAACAGCACGCTCACAGCTTCAAAGTGTGAATACGGTATATAAAGGGGCGTGTTTGTTAGTACCAGTGGGCATTATTCTGTTCACTCCTTCAGTCGTTAATGTCTCTTATATGAATTTTTGCTAACTACTCCATGGCCATTTTTGTGTTTGTGTGTGTGTTGCATTAGTCATAGCAGTTACGTGTGTGTGTATGTGCGTGTGTGTGTCTCAAAGACGGAAAGAGAGAGAGAGGAGGGGCAGACTCTATTGCTCCAGCTTTAATCTTGGTCTTATTAGTCTCTGGTCAATACACCATCTCATCCTGACATTCAAAGGGCTAAATAACTAAAAAACGGTGCCCCTCCTTCCTTTCATTCTTCCTTCCATTCTTCTCTAATCCCTGGCTTTTCCCCCTGATCTCTGCTGCTGTTTGGTCCTCTCTCCAGTTTACATGCTGAAAGCGGTGAAAGCATTACAATAGATGTTATTCAAGGAGCAGACACACTGTTCTCTACTCCTTTTTAACATTTAGGTTTGCGCTTTACAAAGACAAAAAGTGTCTGTCTGACTCTAGTTCCTGTGGCGATGTGGTGCTTTGTGGGATTGTTTTGACCAGGCTTGCTTGCATAATTGAAGGAAACTGATGAATTTGGATGATGCCTTGATTAGATTTCTCTGCTCGGCTAGAATATAAAGCAGGATTCACACTGATGCATTAAGATTTTAAAGGGAATATTAAAAAGGTAGATAAATGAATAGATGGAGTGGGTAGACAGAAAGCGAGATGGACAAGTTTAGTTTTTTCAGCGAAGAAAGGGTATCTATGGACAGAAATTCAAATATGAAAAGCTAATTGATGTACAAATGCATTTGTCCATGATAGACAGCCATATGTCAGATATAATAGATTCCAGGATGCAGATGCAGTGGCTGTAGATCAGTTCAGGGGGATTAAGGGAGTAATTCAGTCATTGCTGAAGATGGTTACTTTAGATAATAACAGAAACAGTGCAGTGTGTAATACAGTGAAGTATCTCCTTCACAAGAAAAAGTCTGTTAATGTAACACACGTTTATGCATGTAAACAGCATGCCCTCTTTTGTCAAAGAGGTGGATACACTCCTGGACCTGGTCACAGATGACTAATATTAATGGTGCATCTTGTGTAGTTTAATCATCTCAGTATCCAGGGATCATTAGTTGCTTTCTCAAGCATGCTCTGTTTGTGTTTTTAATTTGACTCAACAAATCCTCCTTTCCTTCTTTTCTGTGCTTTCTGTGTCTCCCGACACTCTTAATACTGCATGTTATATATTCACGTGTGGGTGTGTTTGTTTTGGTGTACAAGCATGTTTGCGCATACATTTATTTGTACATATGTGCTGTGTTTTTTAATGTCCACAATATAGGTATGACCGGGAAGGCTATGCACTCGACAGCCAATCCCTGACAGAGACGAGATCAGCAGGGAGTGGAGCAAATATGAATTGGAAAACACTGAGTGACATTAAGAGTGAACAAATGGGACATGGAGAAAAGGTGCAGTGCATACATGCACACACACACATACATACATACAGCCTCATACAGCCATGTAGCAGGGCATTCATCATAGACCAAGTGAAAATAAATATTGGAGGCAGAAATATAAAAACCAGAGCCGATGAAAGCCCAATTACTTCCATGGCCATATATTACTATTAGATTACCATACCATTAGATTAATTAAACCTTTAAAGAAAAATGTACCATACATTTCTGGGCCCTTTTTGATATCAGATACTGTAGTACCATGAATAACTAGCCTTAGCATTTTTTTTTATATTGATTGATCTGATGATTATTTTCTTGGTTAATTGATTAATGGTTTGGTCTATAAAATGTCAAAATAAATTTAAAAAAAATAGCCCATAACAGTTTCCTAAGCCAAACTAAGTGTCACATTCACATCTGTACAGTTTCGCCCAACCAACTGTCCAAAACCCAAAGATATTCAGTTTACAATGATATTGAACAAAGGAATGTTTTTGGAATGCTAATTCTAAGGTAACAAAAACACAACGATTCATACACGCAGGTGATTGTACACTAATTAAAACACACCTATGAATATTCTATTTCTGACCAAATATCCTCCTTGTTACACGCTGAACCTTTAGCGAGTCACATAATAGGGGATGCACAGCAGTTCAGGTGGAAATGAGGCCACGAAGTGTGTAACTAGCAAAAAGTAAATCTTGTTGTTTGTGTTGCAGTTTTAGTCAGATCTCTGAGCCATTTCTTTATGAAAACTTTGGCTGGAAGCAGATTGAGATGTGAGTCAGAAAATCCTTCTCTCAGCTGGCTACTGTTTGAAGACAAATGAAAAGAAAACCATCTACAGATGATGTAACATCAGCATAGCTACAGTACAGCAGAGGTTGATTGCAGAAACTCTTTCAGTGTTGTATTACAAGCACAGTAAACACTGGGTTTTGGTGTCTGTCCCTGAGAATGAAAGAGTTGGAGCTTCACTGTTTTGCACCAAAGTTTTGCAGTCACACAGGGACACATCTATCATGTTGACGGACTTTAACGTCAAGAGCGTGACTACCCGCTTTTACTACCCTATCGCTATGACTTCTCTACCTACACATAGAGCATTACCCACAGCTGAGTTCAGCTGTTAAAAAGCATTTAGGAAAATTATTCATAAATGATAATTCATAAAACAGAAATTGACACTACGTATCCTAAAAACAACCCATGTTACTAAACGTTACAGGACAATAACACATAGATGACGTGTATTTTTTTGTTTAGCCATATAGAGATGACACTGAAGGCCTCTAATGTAAAACTTTTCAGACAAGAATTTCTATGAACAGACGTGGATTTAGTGATTTTTAAAATTGACCACTTCTCAGTCTCATTTGAATGTAAGCTTTGGACAAACACAAATCCAGTCTCCTGTTCATTGTAAATAGAGCAGCGCTCGGCTGTGCCTTGCTAACGCTGCATGGATTAGAGTCATGGTTCTCTTGTTTTAGCTGTGGGAAGGTGATAGTGAAGCTCTCACATTTTAGCAGTACTGGTCGAAACCACCATACCCTGTTAAAGGAGCATGTGAGAACTCTGAAATTAATCCAGGGGCCATTTTAAGAAGACTTATCACACAAAATGATCATGCTTTCGTCTAAAAGTAGACTGCATGTAAGTGGTATGTGCCACGCATAAACTTTCTGCCTAATTAATTAGGTTTATCTCCGACTAGTCTCCCTCATCCCTCACGTTTAATTAGAAGCCACTTACGAGTAGCTTCAAGATCAGTTTCGTTTCTAATAAAAAATTCTAATTATGTGTTGGAGGTGGAGGAAGCCTATAGGGCATAACATTACCGGAAGGAAAGTAGCGAGGACGGAGGACGTGGGAGAGTGAGAGACGGCTATAAAAGCCAGGCAGAGTCACTTAAACTTCATGTCACTTATAAACTTGCGTTGACGGATGGAAAGGGAACAATGCCACAGAAGGAAAGAAAAAAAGCGAGGGAAGAGGAAAAAAGTGACACGGGGTTTTGAGAAAAGGATACAGATAGGATTGGTTAACTGGCAGATGTGGGGAACGGAGTTGAAAGGTGAGAATGTGTAAATAATTCAAGCTTAGATTTTTTTCCCTTCTTCTTCAGTTTTTTTTCTTTCCCTTTTTCCCTTTGTCTTCTTCTCTTTTCTCTCTCTGCCCTGCATACCCCCAACCGCTTCTGTAATTGAACGGCTTTTAAGGAGGTTGTCTATCACATACTCTGAGGCAGCAGCTTTGGTAATAATAATGGAATCCAAATCATTAGTTTATAGTTGAAGGAACCTAATTTGACATTCTACCTGTTTGCCTCCATGTATGTGCGTGACTGTGACTCTGTTTGGGTATCTGTGTGTATGTGTCAGTGTGTGGTTGTTAATGTACAAGCCATTTCTAATTAATGTAGCTGTGTGTGTGTGTGTGTGTCTGTATGGGAGAGAGTGTGTGTTGGGATTTTGGGACAAGCATTAAAGTTGGCATGTGCAGCCACGTCAATTATGTGAAGTAGATTTTCACTTGGTTGCCCTTCCACATACAAATTTTAATTGCATTTAGGTGCCAGAAGGTGACACAGGGATTTGGTGTGATAAGAATGAAAACTATTTTCAGAATGTTGGGGGTGTTTGAGTGTGTTACGTGTGTGTGTGTGTATCTTTAGGTGAGTCTGCACACATATTATTTTTGTGTTAGTGTGTCTGTGAGAGTTTTTGTGTATCTGTTTTTGTGAACATCGTTAGTCATGGTGCTCTTCTAGGTTCTTCTCAGTGTGCTTAAGGTTAAGACTTTGCCCCAAGGCTTCTGTGTACACACTGGAATACAGAAGGAGAAGGGGAGAGATGACAAATGTAGGGAGATTTATTTAGAGTGGTCTAGTCGTGATGGAAACACTATGGTCCAGATCCTGCTGACCTCTCCCTTCGCATTCTCGGTAGCATCTGCCGACATCGCAAGCCCTCAACGAGCCCCCAAAGAAACGCGTCCTGTTCTTCCCGCCTCGTGCACCCTCCTACCACCTTCCCCACCCATTGCCTTCCCACCTCTCCAGCCTTCCAGCGCTCCAATCTGCCCAAGTCTGCAAAATGTGATGAGGCAGGCGTGCGGGCGGAAGCATGGGAGTGGAGTTGGAGTGTTGAGGGGGAGAGGGCTGTTGCTAACGGGAGAAATTCTCCTAATTAAAAAAACCTCCTTAGTAAGTGTTTCGGAGGGGTTCTCTGTGTGGCATGGGTACTGGGTAGATGGATGGGTGGACAGATTATGAGTCAGTGTTAGCTAGCGGGAAGAAAGTGTCAAAGAGCTCTAAGTCTGACTGACAGTATCTGCAGAGGTCGTAGGGACACAGGACAGCATCAACCATCTCACAAGGGATGCAGAGAACACAGTGGCCTTTTCACATTCAGTGCTCTTGGTGAACACTTTACAGAAAGTGTGGGTTGTATAAAGAAGGAACAGCATTAGTCAGTGTGTGTGTGTGTGTGTGTCTGTGTGGGTCTGTGTGTGTCTGTGTGTGTGTCTGTGTGTGTTTGTGAATTTGGCCAGCATCCTAGGGAGAGTCTTTGATAGACTCATTTAGGCCAACATTAGTAATGAGTCTGGCCCAGCTCTAGCTTGTAGTTGTTGTTTAGAATGCATTTTAAAGCATTTCATTTTAAATTCTGGCTGTAATTCCAACATCTTATTTAAGGCCTGCTCTCCCGATAGAAGATATACCCTCTGGTGAAGCTAAAGCTTTTTTCTCTGGTTTCTATCTTGTGTATGTATATCGTATTTATCGCTTTGTGTTATATCCACGTGTGTATGTTTGCATGCAGGCGCATACACGTGTGTGTGCCTCTTCCCAATGAGACACAGTTCATCTGCTGTGTGCATTCTTTATATTTATATTTATGGAAATCGAATGCTGTGCTCCTCCACAGGAAGATAGAATAGCCTTTTTTCCCCCAAAATTAGCATTTCTTTCCTTTTTAGCTGTTGATTTTAGCAGCGTGAGTTCTGGCGCTTAAGGTGCTAATATCTGTTTAAATTACCGCAACATAGCTGCATTTTAATTTGATTCTGTTTGACTGTGTACACTTTAATTTAAATTCATAACTGAGAAAAGTTTAGCTCATTGTATCTGTATTGCAAATGTGTAAGTTTGGGTCTTTGCATATAACCTTGCATGTTAGCCATGTGTCTGGGTGCTTGGTGTGTGTGTGTGTGTGTGTGTGTGTGTGTGTGTGTGTGTGTGTGTGTGTGTGTGTGTGTGTGTGTGTGTGTGTGTGTGTGTGTGTGTGTGTGTGTGTGTGTGTGTGTGTGTGTGTGTTAGCACAATTTATGTATTAGAGAGGGAGAAAGAGATTCGTCTCATCTCACATCTATTATGCATAGAATTCTCAAACTCCCTCTGCTCTCTTTTTAAACTGTTCCAAGATTGTTTGGAAGTCAACTAGAGATGTGTAAACAGCATGCATCTACCAGCTGGACTGACTTGTTGGCTACAGTTTTACTGTCAATGCCAAGTTTGATCTAAGTTTATTTTTATTTTATTTAATGTTTCTCTTTTCACCCTAAGCAGCTTATTCACATTCTTAAAACGGTTGAAGGATGTACTGTCAGCACTAGAAGGAGCACTTTCGCTTTTCCTCGTCTCTTAAAGTTTTTTTCCCCCTCACTTCAGTTTGATGGGGCTTTAGTTTCTGTGTGCTGCAAATTTTGAAAATACCAATAATAATAAGACAAGAAAATGCCAAAAGAATACTAATGCCGTTTGGATGTGAACAGAGCGACAACCCAAGATTATTCAGCCAAAGGTTTGATGAGTGAATGTTTCTTTCTAATGTTTGACTGTATCCCAGAGTTTAGTAGGACTGAAGTCACAGCGATGTTATGAACCGTTCCGGCACACTCTCTGTACTGATTGTAGCGTTATCTTGCTCACAGTATCCATCAACTGAAGCTTCATGGTGGTCATGAATGAATGAACATGGCCTGTGCAGTTGTTATCACTCTGTCAACCATTGTGGTTTGAAGTGTGATTCATCAAACCAGACAAGTTCTATTCAGTTACAGGTTTTTTTTATTGGTGTTCTTTAGCACACTGGAAACATGCTTTAGTTTATAATGGGCAGGAAAGAAACACTTTTAGATAATCCACTGTTGTACTTCAACAGGAAAAGACTTTGAAGCATCGTGTGGTCTGACATTGGTCATCGTGCCTGACCACCGTCACGTGATTTTGACTCTTGTTCTGTGGACTAGTGATTACTCATTATGTTCTGGCCACCTGGCGTCTTGTTCATCGACCAAGATGCAGCCTCCTACATAACAAACGCTTTGATGAGAGGTCTTGTTCCGGTCTATTCATTGTACACCTTTAAGAGTGCAATGCTCAGACTTCTCCTGACACACATAAACATGCATTTTTTTAAAACTATGTTAGGGGCAGCATTGTTTTTTTTTTTTTTTGACTATTGAAGCTCAGAATGAGAGAAAGATGGTAACTCAACCAGGACCTACTGAATTTTTATTTCTTTTTAATAGGAGAATACGTTTTAATGAAAAGGGCTGTCATTAACATTACAATTTATTAATAAGAATTTTTCAGCTAAGAAGTCCATAATTATCTGCTGTGAATGCATGAGTGGAGTTGTCCCACATGCATCTCCCTGAATTATTTACAGTGACCTTACACATACTCCCTGAAATGAGAAGCCACTCCATGTCTGTACATGAGCTATAACTCTCTCTTTTTTTTTTTTTTTACTTTGGACATGCAACTGAAAAATATCTTGGCAACAAAGTTTTACTCAAATCCAAGACTCCAAAAAAAGAATCAGATGGGTATGTTCTGAAATTTTAATGAAACGAGGCAGCATAAGGCAGTCACAAGGACAAGCTAACACTATCTTCATGTTTTTAACATCTTAAACAGGGAAGCTAGATGATCCATTAACAATAGTGCCCTGCCTCTTCCTCTATCATCAGTGCTTTCATCCTGCAGCAATTGATCTGTATTCAGTCAGTTTACCACATTTTTAATGACTTGAATTATTATTTTGAGGGCCAGTGTTAATTAGCTGGTGAATCACACTGCTACATTTTTTTCCCCCAGCTTTAATGGGAGTGATGTCCCTGTTGTAGTTCCAGTTACCAAAGTGATACATTTAATTCAATGCTCTTGAAATATGTCTGGTCACATGTCCTAAATCCTGACCAGACAGCCACTGTCACATTCCCTACGCAGGAGTAACTGGGTTTCAGTAAGTGTAAAATAAAATATACAAATTGCAGTACAAACATTTGATGTAATTAAATTATGGTTTTAAAGGTTCATTTGTTCATTTTTGTTTTTTTTTCCAGAATGCAACTTGATTTGCAGGGTGGATTTCTCCTCAGCACAATATTGTGTAAAGGGGCAGCACTTACAAATTAACTGAAGCCTGTTAGACGTTCAGATTGCAGCAGTTTGATGTGATTTGGTAGTTTTTATTGATCTTACAGCTCTATCTCCCTAATTAGATTTCTTCCTCTCACATTTTTGTTCTCTCTTCTCAGGCGGAGTATTTCACCTGCTTGGCGACAGTGGTGTACTTTCGTAAGGATAATTGTCTGTACCAGGCCTGTCCATCCGCGGACTGCAACAAGAAGGTCACAGACCAACAGAACGGACTGTACCGCTGTGAAAAGTGTAACCGAGAGTTTCCCAACTTCAAGTACAGACTCATACTTAATGTAAGTGCATACAGTGCACATTATTAACGCTTGTTTGTCACACATGCTACTGACTTTGAGGAATATTGTCACTTCTGTGATACACACACACACATTCAAACATACACACATGAATAATCTCTCGCCCCCCTTCATCATCCCTGTCTGTCTGATTCTCAGGCCAACTTAGCGGACTTCGGGGATAACCAGTGGGTGACATGCTTCCAGGAGACAGCTGAGGTCTTGTTAGGTCACAGTGCAGAAACACTGGGACAGCTCAGAGACACAGTGAGACACACAAACACACACACACACACACACACACACACACACACACACACACACACACACACAAACATATACTGTATATATCCACACACAGTTCTCCTTAATCTAGTTGTTCACATCTGACAAGAAAATTGCCGTTGCAAATTTTTCCAGGAAGTCTAACTTTAACAGACTACTTACTGTAAACCATTGACCCTAACTTGTATTTACCTTTGGTGTGTGTGTGTGTGTGTGTGTGTGTGTGTGTGTGTGTGTGTGTGTGTCTGTGTCTGTGTCTGTGTGTGTGTGTTCCCGAGGACGAGGCTGCATTTGATGAAGTCTTCCAGAAAGCCAACTTCACAACTCACATCTTTAAGAACAGAGCCAAGCTGGAGACGTACAACGTAAGTAGCTATGAACGGGAGCACAATAGAATTTGATACAATGCAATGCAATTTAGTTTCCCAGGAATAAAAGAGCAGAAGATAATGACATACGATGGTGCTCATCATTGTCCTGCAAGTTGTGAGATTTTCTTTTTTTTTCTTTTTTTTTTCAATGATCTCTGCCTTGCAGGAATACTCGACCCTGATTGGTTAATGCATGTCTGTTACACACAGCTGTCTTATCACTGTTCTGAACAAATACACCAGCAGGCATTTTTATTTCTCCCCAATTCTAATAATGGTTCCCGAAAAATGAGCTTTCAAAATAACCAGGACTGCAAACAAGCGGCATTGTTGTAAAAACAGTAAACGGTCTCATTTAGGGTCAATTTCACAATCTAACCAAAAAATAGGAACAAGCTACAGTAAATAGACCTAAACTGTGGAAGCGTGTGTATGTGTTATTGTGTCTTTTATATAACAACATTTCAGTTGTGAAATTGTAATTGGACATTGTAGCATTGAAAGATCCTGTTTTTGCCAGATCCAAAGACTTCCTCTGTCAAGTTTTCTGGTGACAAATAAAGTATGGTGGTTAAATTATGATGAGCTGGGAGAGCTTGCAGTGTTAACAGATTTAGTATTTTGATTCACACAAAGTATTTACTGATCAGCAGCAACCTTTAGGATGAGCTTTTGCCTAACAGAGGGATGTTTTCAAAATAGAGAACAGCGTATAAGAAAAGTGTATAAGTAGCTTCACACTGAATACCAAAGAGAAAAGGTTAAGATTCACTGTTTTATCTTAAGCACCGCTGGTGTTAAACGCATTTTAGTGTGTTGTTTTAATTAACGGGCTGTACGTCAACTGTGAATATGTAACAACCAGTTGTCGTCGGTTATTATCTTTCGCTGAACTGCAGTTGCAAGTATGTAAAGCCACAAAACAAAATGCAATGTAATCACAACACAATGTCAGTCACACAACGTGAATCCAGAATCATTTCAATTAGTATCACAGTGACAAGGGAGTTGTTATATAGCCAGTGCACTTTGGATAATAGAAAACAAATACAGCTGTGGATTAATTTCTCTTAATTAGGCACTAATTAGCATTTAGCTATTGTCTGTCTAAGCCTAATTAGCCTAATTATTCAAAGACTAATTTGCTACTTGGGGCACATACCAAGAGTCTGAGTGGAATGATTGAGATGTGGGATGCGCTATGAACGGTCTGTGTCCTGACCTCAAGAAAACCTACAAGGAATGCAGAGTTCGCAAGCCCTCCTTCATAGTCTGGAAAATAATGTGAAACCTATTTGTGATGAGAAATTACAAGAAGTTTAATCGTAAGTTTAGAAGTAAGTATTGCCATTTGGTATTTCTACACTCAAATGCCTAGTTTCTGTGGCTGCAGTCTAATGTAACATGCCGTGATATTTGTTAAAATTACGAGGAATCTTCAGCTACACATGAAATGAGCTTGGCTGTCTGTTTTCCAGTCAATGTCAGCCAGGTATACTGGTACTTACCATCACTAGCAGATGCAGTAGGCTGCAATTTTCATTACAGCCCACTATACAGACATGTTGGCCAGAACAAACAAAATGCTGATGATTTTGCTTTTATCACAGCTTTACTAGTAGAAGAGCTCAAAATACACTTTGTCCTCAGAGCTGCATTACAGGAAGAGTCATGGGGTATATCCAAAACAAATGGTGCAGGTTAGGAATATGAACAGCTTTACATTACCTACACCCAATCAGTTTAACATGACAACCCATTAATGAATTGCATAACAAGGCACAATATGCACTCTTCATAAAAACCTGTATTATGCAGTGCATGCCTGTATTTGAGGCTGAGAGAGTGAGACAGAGGCATTAATTTAGCATTGTTTAATGCTACACCCCGCTTGATGCCTTCCTTCTTCTTCCCTCCCTGTCACTATCCTGCTCTCTGTTGCTGTGTGAACTCTCTGACATCATAACCACACGGTTGTTGTTGAATTATTCACTCATTTTGGCTTGACCTCATTTCATTAATTAAAGTAACGTTGTGTGGCTCCTGTCTGTCATGTAGACCGCTGTGCTGGTGCTGCCCTCCCCCCTACACACAACCAAATATTAATTTTGGCAAGTCAATTATATAATCACATTTTGGATTTTTGTTGACAGTCTTACTAGAAAATGATTTCTATACAGTTATAAAATCACGGCTAAGTTTTGCTGTACCTTTTTTAAATAATTACTTCTTTAATTGTCACATTTTTTTAGCGTTGTAGGAAGGAATTTCAGTATTTCACAAAGTCCAGATAATGAGCTCTGAGAAGATACACAAGGCCTATCTATATATTCAGAATTTATTTTCAGTGAGTGTTAGTCAAAGTTGACTCTGTTTCAAAGCTTGTGATTCAAAAAGACGAGCACAGAACGAAGAGTCTGTGATTCACTTATTCAGTGTCTTTCTACCTCACCGAAAGCCACAAGACGAAAAGATCAGACATCTACCATATAATAGTGTTTTCATAAAAATAGAACAATGTAATGAAATGTCAGAGCTTAACAAGATTAATGGAGTTACAAAATGTGTGCTTTGTCATTTTCCATAACAAGGACATACGGAGGGAAAGAGCAACTAAGCTTAGGATCATATTTTAAAGTTGCTGTATGAACTTCTCTTGTATATGAACTAGTGCTGTCAGTTGAACGCGTTATTAATCGCAAGATTAGCGTTCTTTTTGGCCTAGCACACTTTGTAGTTTTTTTCACATGCTGTTGCAACAGCTAGTACCGTTAGAAAAACTACAACACCACACCGGATCTAGCTAGACCGGAAACGAAAGAACAGGCACGCCGCACACACTTTAAGAGTAGTAGACGTTACGTTTTGAGTGGATGGCGAGCGCGAGACGCCGAAATGGATGCCAATAATATTCTGAATGGAAAGTTTACTTTTAAAAAGTTGCCAAATGGTTCCATTGACAAGACCAAAGTGATCTGTGTGTTTTGTCGTTGTGAACTGAGCTATCACGTCCAGTCTGAAATACCACTTGATGGCCAAGCACATAGCTGATGCGAATTCTCTGCCCCCTCGTCAAACCCAGGATGGATGGATGGATGATTTTTCAATAAAAACAACATTTGCACAAAGCAAGCCGATCCACTTTTCAATGTTGATAAGAGCATTAAAATGGGAAAAAATAATGGGACAAAAAGAAATCAAGGGACATTTAGAATAGATAAAAATGTGCGATTAATTGCGAGTTAACTATGACATTGATACGATTAATCGCGATTAAATATTTTAATCGTTTGACAGCACTAATATAAACTCAAGTTTGTTTTATTTTAGGGCAGAGCAGAGATGACAAACTACAGATTTTTAGACTTAGCAAGCACAATGCGCCCAAATCCCCAAAAATTTTCTCTGCCATCAAATATAAATATTAAACCGTAACTGTTACACAGTTGGTGATTACAGTGGGGCAACAGTCTTAAGTTTCAGATTTAATTTAGCTTTAAAAATGTAAAAATGTTGGACTATAGTTTATGACAGATTTGTTAAAAGTTAAAGTAATCAAAATTTTCACATAAATGTCTCTTTTACTACTCTGTTGCTAATATTGCGATTTAAGAGACTTTACTTATCACCAGAAGGGAAATAAATGTTACAACAGTACAAGAAACAGAGATAAAGAATTATGTAAAATGAATAAGTAAAAAAACATATTTAGGCCATATACATGATTTATGCCATAGATATGAAATTCAGTATGAAATTATCCCAACTTCATACAAAGTATGACATATAAAGCAGTTTTATATAATATACAGTGTAATATATTAATGTCTGTCTGTAATAATAAATATGTATATATGATTTAATATATGAATGCTATATAGTTATAGATATTATATATGTAATATATATATATATATATATATATATATATATATGTAGGATAAATTGCCTGACTGTCTGTAATTGGAGGGCAAAAGTGTTTATAGTTGTTCCCAACAGCCAAACAGGGCATAAAAAGCAGACCGTCATTGCGAGGGACAAGATGTGATAAATGTTGAAAGGTCCAGAGTGTAACATTTTCAGAAATTGAATATAAGTTACAGAAATTGTTGAAGGCAGTCCCTCCAGTAAAGGTGTGGAAGTGAGGGTTTCAGATGCTATTCCATCCAACAAGCGCTTGTGCTGAAACGTACTCACCCCTTATAGGCACTGTGGTCTGTGTGAGTCCAAAGCCCTGGAGGTCGGAAGGTTTTTACGTTCGATGTTAAAATCACCACAGCAATGGCCGCTAATTACCAGTAATATTACCAGAAAAGTAAAAAAGGTCACACTTTACTTTGTTCATTCAGATGAGAACTATTGTTGTTTCTAATCTATCATGGTAACATCTGGTAAAGCAGATATAGGATGTAGATAAAAGTCTAAAACAAAGAAACACAAAAACCCTGCTGTATTGTATTTAAATACAATTCCATCTTAACTGTCTGTCATGTTTCATTAAGATGGAGCCCCACAGTGGCATGGGAGTGTGCAGTTAATCAGACACTTATGCTTCAGTGTAGTAGAAGCCTGTATCACTCTGCCACAGGTAGAGTTAATGATGATGGTGAAGATCGGATTTGGACAGCAGGATTGGATGTACTGAGCGCAAATGGATTTTTTCACATAAATTGCAAAACATTTGCATTTGTTTAAAAGTCAATGGAAGATAATTGATGCGCTTGGGAAAGTGCATATGATTTCCAACCATTAACTAGAGGCAATATTTTGAGTCCAAGTCTTGGTAAGTATCTGAATCTTTTCTATGCCCGTCTTAAACCTGCGATTCTATACTGTGTTAGGAATGTATATAGAGGTATACACAGGTGTGTGTGTGTGTGTGTTCTTTGTGACTGAAAGTGTATCTCTCTGTCTGAAGCAAATTCATTGATTTTGTCTCAATGAATCCATTAGTGTCAGAGGGGACCTGTTTTTCCTACCTTATGTTAACAGACAGGCCATTGAGAGCCACACACACACACACACACACACACACACTTAACACACTCACTTTATCATCATCATCAACAAACAACACAGGCCTTGTCAACATCACATTCAGGTCTTTTAGCTGTCCCTTAGGATGTGAAAAGGGTTAAGACGATTCTTATATGGCTGAAGGAAAACACTCAAAGTATTTCTCTTACTTTCCTCTTTAACTTGTATCAGACAATTAGCACTTATGACAGGGTGGGTGAACAAATGAACAAGGACACCTCTCAATACAGTGCTGCAGTGTACTTTTGATGAATCTCAATGTGTTTGGTTATTATGGAAACGGAAAGTTATATTCAACTTGACTGACAGTAGTTTGTAGTGCTGTAATGTGTTCAGTGCTGTTTCTATATGTTGTCTTCCATTTGAAATGTCACATTTAGCAACAGTGCCTGCCAACATTTACATTTGATAAGCCAAATAGAAAGTCATGGAGCTTTAAAATATACAGTAATAATATAATGTTATAATGTAATAATGTAATAAGACCAAGACTCTATAGCCACGTTAGCAGCTCTTTGCGGCTGTGCTTAGGTACTGCATTGCTTTTAGCTACATGCTAACATCAGCATACTAACATGCTCACATTCATTATTGTTGAACTAAGTTTTTATTAGCTGCTGAACCCAAAAACCTTTAAAAAGACAAAGTGGGTGCTTACAGTATTTCACCTGGTAGAGTGCGTATCTGATGTAAGAGACTGCAATGGCCCGGGTTCGATTCCACCTGTGGTCCTTTGCTGTATGTCATCCCCCTCCCCTGTCTATCTTCACCTGTCCTATCAAAATAAAGGTATAAAAAAGCCCCCCCCAGCAGAAGTGGATACATGCAATAAGACGTGAGGCATACACAGAAGCCTTAGTCCCTTGATTCAGACAAGAAAAAACTTAAAAGATAAAATAATTAACTGGGAAAACATGACAGTGCCAACTTACTGATGTTTAACAGGTAACATGTTTAACACATTCAACAACCTAGTTTAGTGTTAAAATGCTAACATTTAGTTATTAGCACTTAAGGCAAAGTACAGCTAAGGATTATGAGAATCTCCCTTTGTTCTATAAAAGTTTGACCTGATGATGGCACTAGATGCAAAGTGATCGTTAAAGTAATAACAATTCATCCTGAGTGGAACATGAATGTACCAAATTTCATGGCAATCCATCCAATAGTTAATTCAAAGTATTTCATACAGAAACCAAGAATGTGAACCCCATGGTGTCACTAGAGCCGCAGTTCTCAAAGTGTGGGGCGCGCCCCACTGGTGGGGAATAGAGACGTGACAGGTGGGGCGCGCCAAACAGGAGGAAATTTTCCTTTTTATGCCTTTATAGCTTTATCCAGACATCCCAACTGTCCCGGAAGTTCCGGGAGTCTCCCGCATAGTGATAGCGGCTCCTTGACGCCTGCAAATGAGATCCAATCTCCCAGAATCTGGAGCAAGACCGCGCACTAGACTAGAGAGTGACTGCGCATGTGTGTGTTTGTGTGATTATAAATGCAGCGTGTGTGAGAGCAAAACGTCCTTATAGCTGTGTGTTGCTGCTTATTAGACCGATCAACCCCGGGGGCGACACCAAGTGTAACAAGAATTACCCTCCCCACCCGGACAAACCTCTCTGAAATGACTTTTTGCAGGTTGGGATGTCTGCCTTTTCAATGCCTTTCTTTAATGACAGCAAAGATCATACATTGAAAACAAAACACCCACAAACAAAGTAATCATTACTAGCCTACATGCAGTCTAAATTAAAAGAACATTAGATATGAGACCCCGAGAAAAATGTATGTATGTATTATAATCTATTTTTGAACTTGATACAAATTTTGACACAGCTGCACTTTTACTTTTGAAGTTGCTGTTATTTGAGTGGGGAATGACCGAAAAAGTTTGAGAACCACTGCACTAGAGGGAGTGTCATGGGATCAATAAAGTCATTAGGAAGCAGCAGGCAGATGCTCATACAGGGGCTCACCTGGTAGAGCTGGCGCCCATGTACCAAGGCTGAGTCCTTGCTGCAGCAGGGCTCGGGTTCGACTGTGGTCCTTTGCTGCATGTCATCCCCTCTCTCCACCTCTTTCCTGTCACTCTTCCGCTGTCACTATCCATTAAAGGCAATAAAAGACCCCAAAGGAATATTAAAAAAAATTAATTTGACAAGCATGACTACAAAATATTGTGGCAGTCCATCCAGCATCTTGTTGGGATATTTCAGTCTGGACCAGAGTGTTTGACTGACAGCAGACGTTGCTAACCATAGACCAAAGCCACTGGCATGGGTCTTGATATTTACAGCTTTGTTATCCAAATCTCAGCAGCCGTTTTATGTAATTTTATTGTTCAGTACGATGTCTCATTAATTCTCTGTGAGGTTGTGGCATGAGTAAGAGGTGTGTGCTGGTCGTTCACATGTGTGTCTACATGTTTTGTCAGTGAGTCAGCATCCAGAAGTTGTGTTTAATTCCTCAGGGAAGAACTCTCCCTCACCCCACCATCTGAAATTGAGTTAGAGGATAGGGGTGACTGTTAGGCCACTGAGTAATTGTTTTTCTCCAGATGTGATTGGAATATGTGTGTGTGCACATTCAATTAATAAGCCGTCTTTTTCACAGTTCCCCCGTCCTTTGGAAGACCATTATTTTTAAATAAGTTATCACCTTTTGTCAAGTGGAACCTTTGTCTCGAAGACCCCCCGTATTGTTTAATTTGCCTGCTATCCTCAGGTAGAAGCAAATTGAAAATACTAATAGAGGTGTTGAATCACATGAGATAATGGCCAAATGTTAAATCCTTGATGCTGGATATGCTGGCTGAATTGCTAATTGATTAATGAATTGTCTCTGGATTAATCCTTCTTATAGTGACCGTGATTATAATAGAAATGGGTTTTTGGCTTTACGTCTTCATGACAAAACTACTGCAATATTTGATTAATAATGATATTTTAATTAATATTTAATGTGAAATACAGTATATCTTGCGGATGGTGGCACATTGTTGAGCATGAATGACACTGAGTAATGTGGCCTTAGCTTTCTCATAGGAAATCTGCAATATCTTTAAAATTCATAAACGATGTGTAATAAGTTGAAGCAGAACACAAATTTATGACTTTGTGCTGTTAAAGAGAAGATAAACACATTGGTTGCCTTGTGTTCACCCTCTGTCACTCCCAAAAATTGCATTCACCATAAATGTGTTCACAGTTGGAGACCGACTTGGACTCAAATTACATGTAGTCCAATCATGTTGGATGGTAGTATTCCAATAGAATTGTTTTTTAGATTTTACTGATTACTTTTAAGGCTCTACATGGTCTCTCCCTCTGCTATTTCTCAGAACTATTAGTACCGCACGCACCAGCTCTTTAGTCTGTTCCAGCGGCAGTGCAGATGAAGTCAGGACCACGAGGCTCTGGAACAATTTGCCCGAGGAATTTTGGCCCAAAAATATAGAAATAATCTGTCTGGAGCCACAAAACATATTTGATTGCTACACACACTATTATTCTCTCCATAGTTAGCCTAGCTAGCCACCACTAGCCACTCAAGACTAACAGCCGCTACTACTGAGGTTTGGAAAGGTCTGGACAAAATGTATTCCGCACATTTTAGTTGACGAAATGTTAATAAAGAAATTTTACTCGATGTGTAATAGCTACACAGTCTTACAGTTGGAAAATGTAAGAATCACTTTAGGCCTACAACAATGATAAAATTCAATGATTTCATTTCTGTATAATCTTCTGTCAAAGTCACGGAGAGCCACCGGAGAGGGGCTAAAGAGCTGCGTGTGGCTCTGGAACAGCAGGTTGCCTACCCCTGCTCTAGTTGGTCTAAAGTGGATCATGTGGCGTGACGTGATCACTGCAGGATAAAAATATTATGTAGCATGTACTGTGAAGTGCACAGGCCGGTCTGGGTTTAGTGGCCATTGTTGGATTCTTTTCATGTCAGATTGGGTGTGATTAGCCTGGGGTCTGTTCGGATCGAGTCTGACTTGGATGGGTACGTTTTTCAGATGTCTGTTTTTGTTGAAAAAAAATATTGAATTCATCAGCTGTATCTACATCATCTGTATCTCTAGCCTACAGCAGTGGTTCCCAATGTGGGTGCATTGATGATAAGCGGGACATGCTGCAAGATTTCAGAATTGTATTGTTTATTTATTGTGCCTTTCACCATGTTTAAAAAAGAAAAGGCAACTCTTCCATTAAATACATTTTAAGTTGCATTCTTAAACATATAAAAACAGAAGAACAAAGCTATAGGTATCAAAATCAACATAATAAACTGTTTAATAAGCTGTTATGCCCAAGCTAAAGACATGATGGTTCAAGCTTTACAGTGGTCATAGGACCCATACATTTTCCAGGTGTGCAGTCAAAATTAATGACCATCAGAGCAAGCATTGTTCTGTTGTAGAAAGATTTGTCACTATGAAAATCAGTAGCTCAAAGAAATGCTGATACATTCTACTTGTTTTACACCCCTTCGCACAGATTTTGGCTTCTTTTTGGAGATGAATTTACAACATGTGCTGTAGTGCAATCAGTGTGGTATTGCCAATTACATCACAGCTGTGTGAGCTGGCTTTTTCATCCATGGAATAAATGAAAAACAAAACAAGGAGTTGCCTGCACACATAAGAAATTACCTATGAAGGTATGACATAGTTTGAAACATTTTGGGACCACTGATATACAGAAAGTCCAAAGACCAGCCAATAGCAGACATTCTCTTTTAACGTGTATAACAATGTTGGTGTATATAACAAAAAAATGTTTTCTCCCTCATCAGGATGAGTGTCGAGTGAAGGTAACTGTAATGGAAGTCCAACCAGTCGACCACAGGGAATACAGCAGGAGACTCCTCAGCAACATCCGCAAATTGGCCAGATGAACCTGGTCCCAGTCATGATCAGCAGCCTGGTGATTAAACGTGTCTTCCATTGGTCTCTGACTGGTGCCCGACTCTTTCCACCGGCGAGATAACAGGGTATCTAACAGAAGCAGCAGAGGGGCGGCCAGTGATTCATCGATCAAATGGCAGCCAAACAAAAGACTGATATTTAGTTGCTCACTTCCTTCAGCAGGCCAGTTGTTAGTCACTTGTAATGTGATGGAAATGACTTTTACCTTTATAATTTAATGACATTTTAACAAAGAGGTTTGACTCTTAATTACATATAACAATGTTTTAGACCTGCTTACGTTTTTTTAAAATGTATTTCATTTATCCTATACATACAAGATCACAGTTTTGTTAATACAAGAGATTCATCTCTGTGTTGGTGATGCTCAGTGTTGGTTGAGGAAGATGTAGATTAGTTGGATTTCTTTTAACTTTAATTGTTTTGTTTTAAATATTAAGGTATGTAAGTAAGTGCATGGGAGATGCATGTTTTAGAATTTGTTTTAACTGTGCTCACAGTTGTTATTTGTTTGAGTTTAAAAAAAAAAAGTGTTTGGTTTGCTGGGCTTCCAAAAATTGTTCAACAAAGAGAGAGTGATTAAAAGAATGTTAAGATACAATGTTTGTCTCTGTCTCTATTGTTTCAGCAGAGTATCTGCAGATCTTGAAATGCCTAAAAAAGCATTGGATTTACTTTCCTCAAAATAGGCTTTAGAAGGTATTAAAAAGATTCTCACCGTAGGCAGTAATGTTATAATATGTCAGGAAGCGTTATACATCTACATACAGTGTTGGGGAAGTTAATTGAAAACATGTTCATCACACATTACTTATGGAAAAAGTAATTATATTGTTCTACTAAATACTCATAATTGACAGTGTCGATTGATGGCCAAAACCTGAATGAATTTAAATGAACTCTGATTACTATTGTTTATATTTGTAATCCATCTATCCATTTGCTGTTGCTTTTCCTGGTCCAGGTCATATTAATTTGATTAATTACATCAGGAATTATTATTGTTATATACTACTGGTAAGTACTAAAAAAGTGATATAACAATAAATAATTCTAGGGCATATTGTCCCTACTGGTTTTGCATCATGCCTTCATATTTTCATCCACATTTTCTACTCTCCGTGGTGTTAAAAAGGTCTCAAAAACTCTTAAGTTTCACTTGGTGAACCCTGCAGAAAACCTAGTTTTTGCCAGGCTGCTCTTTGATGATCTTGGAAATCACTTTCAAATTAAATGTCTATCAAACTACTTTATGTTCACTGTGCGTATACATTCAGACACAGGAAACCGAGGACAGAGCTTCAGTGGCATGCCTCTCTACCAAGGTGTGGTTCAAGGGCATGACACTGATTTATGTTGGCAGCAAGCCGCCTGCTCCCCTCACTCCGAGCACCATCAGTACCATCTCCTGCCTGTTGCCTGCCATGCTGTGTGTGGAGGTTTGGGAGATTAAAACACACACACACACACACACGCACTGATCTTTTCATCCCGGTGTCACCTTTCCCTTAACTTTTTCCATTATCTCTGTCTTTCTTTTTTTTCTATTGTTCAGAGTGGTGTGAGACCATAGCCTCTAATCATCTCTCTTTGTAATGACAACACACTTAAAATGCAGTCTGTATGGGCAGCTGGGCCACTGCGTTTAATGCATTAAACACAAAGACAGAAGTATAAAAGGAGTTAAGTGAACAATTAAAGGTTGCTTTTAATTAACAAACAGAAATGGTCCCACACAATTCACACCACTAACAATTCAATCATTTCACGATAACTACTTTTGAGGTTTATTCCTTTCAGGTCAAAAATCAAATTCGGACATTTTTTAATTTGCTTGCATAAGCCGGTGCAGTCAGTATAACTGTGCTCTGTTCAAATCTAAAAAGGAGTCAGTGAGATCAGAAAGTCATTTCCAACTTAAAGCCTTGCTGGTGATTGAGACTTAAGATGGAGACATGTCAGTCTGCAGCCCCAAGGCATTATGGGACAGGAGGACATAGTGAAGATTAAGAGAAATACATTTTTTGCATTATCCTTGGAGAACTTTATCTGAATGTGACGTGCTAAGCAGTAGTGAACTGAATAACTGGTAAGGTTGTCATATCTTCTTTCTGGGAATGTGGGACCTTCAGTCTGGTGAATATGCAGTTTGTCTCTATCTGCAGAATGTGTGTGAGGCTACAAGGACAGAAAATGGAAATGAGCTGCGGTTATCACAGAGGTCGTAGCCCTGATCAGTCTATCTGACCGCAGTCTTATCTTAAAACACACTGCAGTTCAGTCAAGCCCTCCTGTGTGTGTGAGAGAGTGTGAGAGAGAGAGACCTTGCAAGACACCAACATTCCCAAGAACCAGTACATGCAATGACTACACAGTGTTACACCAAGACCTGGAACCATCACTTTACACAACATTAAGGCGACACAGGCCTCCGACTCAGGCATTGTTGACTTTCGGTGGAGGCAGACGGCCACCCACCCAGAGCTAGGGTTTGCCTGAAGTTTCTGCTGGGTCTCATTAAGTTCATGAAAAGTACGGTCTACACCTGCTCTGTTTGAAGATAGAGATAACTTCTGTCATGATTTGGCACTACACAAATAAAAACAATGTTGAAAAAGTAAACAGAATTTCATTGTGGTATTGGGTGCATTCATATTCAACTAGACCTTTTTCAAAGAAGCCATTTTGACATGAAATCGTAGAGTACACAGATGTTACCAATGATACTAATTAAGGTTCAGTTCCATTCAGGTCAAACCGAGTCAGGGTGATGCTGTTGTGCTCGTTTGCTCACTGGCAAGGCTCTGCTACACTAAATGGAACAGACCCTACGATTTCATGTCAAAATGGCTGCTGTAAAACAGGTCGTCATAGCGTTTGCTTACAGTGCAAAAAGATGCCCACACTTAAAAGGCCCGGCACACACACACACAGCTGTTTTCAGTCACTCAGGAGGTGGAGGTTGGGTGGAGCTATAATGGAAGTAACAAAATGACCTGATTACAATAATAATGGTGTAAATTGTGCAACAAAACTGACAGGAGAGTGAGGAAGCTGTCGATCAAGCAGTGTCTGTACACTCCCACACTGTCTTGAGAAGAGATCAATTAGGTGAAAACAACTTTATTGGTGGACTGTGGTTCCATTTACACTTGCTGTTTCAAGTTCGGATGTAATGCACCTCAAGCAGCTTTATTTGTGTACTTCAGCAGATTAACTAGGCTACAATAATAACAGTTCAGTCAGACAACTCACTTTGAAATGTTTATTACAGCAGTATAGCATAGTTAGATTTTGGCGTCTGGGCTCCGACCTCATCACTCCCCACAGATATGTTTACATAGAGATATTGGGAGTGATGAGAAAATACCTTACACCCCTTCGCTGGAGCGTACAGGTGGATGCTTGTGGGGCTTACAGAGCAGCAGGCAGCAATATGGATGCAGAGTAACAGCGGCATTGACAGAGCAGAGGGAGAGCTGGGAAATTCTGCACCTTAAGTAGACCACCAGATTGGAAGGGTCGGGTTGGTTAGTGATTATGGAGTGTGAGGCATGTCATATGTGCACGGCAGCGCAGCTCGAGTTGACTGCCTGAACTGGCTTCGCTCCATTTTAGGTAGCTAGCTAACAACTAACCATAAACAAACACATTGATTAATCATATTCATAAATTACGGGCGAGACAAGCTGTTTTCCGTCTTTATTCTCCCGCATCCATACAGATCAGTGGTTGGACTGATTAGAGATCAGATACATGCTACAACAACTCAATGCACCTTTTGTGTATTTTATGTATTAAAATCATCTTTTAGATGCATTTACACAGTTAATGTTTTATTTTCCTACACATGAGGAGTCCATATGGGGACTATGGGTGTGTAGAAGATTCCCCACAGTGAAAAAAATGTATGACGTAAACTTTTCAAGTGTAAGATTATAATACCACTATAATAGAACATCGTCAAGTTCCATATCAACTAAGTATATATATGAAATCAGCTGAAAAATCCACTTTATGGAGGCTGCAGATGCTATAGTGCCCTATTTAGCCATGTGCTCATTATGTTTGTGTAAATTTAATTTAATGCTATTTGATTCTCATGGCAATGAACTCATTTTCATTGCTGAAAAGGAGAAAGCCTGCTCAGACTTCCTGGGTAATAAAGGCTAAATTATATACAGGACATTTACAGTGATTTTCCAGCTCTCCTTCACTGCAAAAGACGTCGATTCTGAGTGGCAATAAGTCCTCATGTAATGATTCCCCATGTGTTTTCATAATGTATTTCGCCTCTGCTAACTTACACACATGACATCTAAGGCAATCATCATTAGAGAAATTATTCCTCGGATCTTCCCACATCCACACCACTGATACTCTGAGGAAATCACAAGTGGGTTTCCTCAGAGTATCAGTAACTTCTCATTTGAAGATTGGCATCTCTGGCAGAGTGCTACAAGGGAATGTGATTTGTATTAATACAGTAAGCAAATGTAAATATTATAAGCCTGTTTGAGCCACTGAAGAAAACAAAGACATGTTTCTTATGTAATAAGTAATTATCTTAGAAATAGGCCACTTGGGGGCAGCGAAAACAAGTTGTGTACACAACATTGAACATATTATTACTTTTTCAGTTGATATGGTGAACTTGTTAGCAAACAGTTGTCTATACACGTCCAGCAGTTACAGAGCAATATTATTTATTAATCTCGCAATTCCAGATGAGCAGAGATTTCAGCACCTACCGATTGTCTGGGGATTGTTAAATGCAATGTACACCCCTTACTTCAAGAAAACGCCTTACCTGAAACAATGCTCTCCCCCCATCCTGCTCCGTAGTCAATCAAACTGGAGATATAGTGAATCATTTTGTAACCCAGGGAGAGCTTTTTAAAACATTGAAAATGTCCTGAGCAACATTATATGGTACAACTTCTGCATGTCACTGCCTTAAAGTCTTTGGATTTGTTCTACAATGCAGATTTGTTTTTTTTTAACCCTAATCTAACTTTTTAAAAAGTAAAATTATTTCCAGCCAATTTGAAAGCAATGAAAGCTAGAAAAAGTCTTAAAATACTTATATACAAAACATGCACGCACTGAAGTGCATTTGCAAAGCATAGAAATGTGTTTTTGTAAAGTCCAAGTCAATAATCAATGCATTCGAATGTACTGAAAGTCTTCAAGAGATCTTCAAGGCTTTGGTGTGACAACAAAAGCAAACAAGTAAATGAAGTTTGGGGGATTGTTTCTTTGCCTGAACCAAAAGGAAAGGGCGAAAACTTCAAATATCACGATTGGTTCTTTTAGAGGGCTCATCGTCTCTTTATATTTTGTTTTCATATCTGAAACGACTCAAACAAATATGTGAACATAAAAGTGCTCCAGGGGGTCAGATTCAAGTTTGTGAAAAAAACTGAATTCAGCCAGCACACAGCATCCCATCAACTATCTACATGTTGTGCTTTGATGTGCATAACTTAAAAATTCTTGTTTAATCCACAACACGCATCCACTGGCAGGAAGACGAAACTGTGTTTTCCCCAAGCTCGGCGAGGGCTTCGCTCGTCGGTTTGCCAACTTCATCTCTGCTGG